TCATTTAATCCAATTCCTTAACTTATGGGTTTGAGTTATTTTTATCAATTAATGAATCAGTTTTCATTCTATGTGATTTGAAAACATTCATCCAATTTAAAGATGCTTCTTTCTGTTATTCTCTGTGTAGAAAAATAAAATCCATTTAGTGTCACTTCTTGATTTGCAATAATAGTAGTTTTTGTTAGAGATTATTGAAGTATGAACTGTACTTATGTGACTTATTTTAAAATGATAAAAGTGCTAATCATAGAGATTTATCATCAAAGTACTTGAGGTGTGTTATTAAGTATTATTCTAATAACATGGGAGATTGAGTTGTACACGGCAATCATATATGGTCAATAAACCATAAACATGATGATGTTTGTTACTTTATTATTTAGAAGCATGGAAGACTCATGGTGTCATACATACTAATTGATGACAATTCTTATTAACCGGCATTGTTGTTTAAAGGGGTAGGGGGGTCAACAGGGATCTCCTTTTGTTAAAATGTGCCTATCATGTCTTTCTCTTTCTCTCTAAGTTTTCTTTAAAATATGTGCATGCATGGGTTTTTTTTAATCTTTTTAAATATATGGTGGAGCTTTGAAAGTGTCATCATTCACTTGATTCACATTAATTCAATGAAAAGAACTGAACAACCCCCAACCCCCTTTTTTTTTTTTTCCTTTTAGTTTTCTCTAAAGAGTGTAGAGTAGTTGTGATAAGTTTAGTTAATGCAAGACTATTTAGATTTTCGATGTGTAGTTCATTAAATTAATAAATTGGAATTTATATTGAATTTCGTTTCATAAAGAGGAGAAGGTTTACTTTTAGCAGTGTAGCATCCCATCATACATTTTTCCTAATTGAAAACAAAATATGGGTCATGGTTTTGATTAACTAGTATTGTAGCCACAAACTTTTAACATAATCATCAATTTTGGTTTGGTTATAACGAACATCAAGGGTCCAAGTTTCATAATGTGATGTCTCACCAGTCACTATCTTGTTACCCCCCCTCTTTAAGCACTTGGATATTTGCAACAATCTTCTTCATAAAAAATACCACTAAGAAACAGTTTCCATCCATATTCTTGTGATCATGTATTGGTTATACCATTAATTTATTACAAGGATGCATCTGTCATTACACTATGCATATATGACCTTTAGCTTATCTCTATTATTTTTATAAAATTTTCTAATCATTGGACTAATCTGAGGTCATTAATTGAGCAATACCTAACTTTATTGTCATTTGCGGCAGAAAACATAAGCAGTAAAGAATAATGATTTTTCCTAACTCTTATTCATCATTGAAAGTTGTTTTTCCATAACAACTCTTTTTTTTTTTCTCTATAGTCAGCAAACATAAGATGTACTTGGCTAGAATCCGCAGGTCCACTTTTGGTTAAGCTTGTTGGAGACCAGAAAAAATCTGAAAGTGGTTAGAACAAGTTGGTGTGATGCATAACTTTTGGTTCAACAACCATTGCCTTGAAAAATTAAGTTTTGAAGCTCATAGGGCAAATTATTTGCTTAAACATAACTCAAGGGGATCTATTTATTCCCTGCGACCATTGTTTTGCCATGTATTTTGGAAGTTGTGATGGGGCCAATCCCATGTTCTAAAGTCCAAAAAAAGTTTTGCATTATTTTGTTAAATGTCATTTCACATTGACTCACAAGACAATGCCACTAAGGATCATGTGTCCAATGAACCAAACTAACCGAACATAAAATATAATCTTGCTTTAATCAGAGTTAAGAGTAGTGTGCTTTGTTGTTTACTGCAACAGAATTTATGCTTGTTTTGGTGGGAAAGAGGGCCTGACCATGTTACCATAAGTTCATGGACCACCATCCAATTCCAAATGGCACTAAACACTTTCTTTCACTTTTTTACGAAAAGGTAAAGAGCATGCATTTTGTAGGGGATACTAGAAATATATAGTCTTGGCTTCTTTCATTTCTCTTTGCACAAAATGCATAAATTAACTTAATTAAGCTAATGACTGATTTTAAACAAATATTGGAGGATGAGGATAGAAGACTCTCAATCTTATCTATATTTGGACAAGTCCTACTCCCATCACTATAACTACACAAGGCAACGATTTTCCTTTTATCCATTACAGTCAGCAGCTATCTTAAAAGTAATAAGTATCAAGATAGCTGTTTATACTATTTTGTGATGTATGATAGGCCTATCACCCTATGTGCACAAAATAATTCCACTTTAGATTTGCTTTTCTAACTAAAACTAAATCTTTGATTTCTAAATATGTTACTCTGATGTAGCACAAAGATTGACCGAGTCATCGTATATACACAAAATAATTCCACTTTATAATTTTCTTTTAGCTAAATATGTTACTAAATTTTTAGTGACATGATATAATCTAAATACAGTTCAATTCATTTTTCCCCCCGATTCTATAAACTTGGAATACGCATAAGATGGGAAACATTTCCCAACACTCTCCCTTCCCTAGCATGATTCAAGCTTAATTAGCAATACTGCAAGAAACTTCACTAGCCCAACTGGTTCTTTAATTTTTAGCAGCATACTACTGCTACTTCGTTGAACTTGAAGTTAATTCAATTTAAGGTGGCAAGTGGATTATTGGTCCATTTTTAAGGCTTAACACTGTAAAGAAGTGATTTCTACGTACATTGGATATATATAAATAAGCACTTAACGTTTTTTCAAGAACACAGATTAAGAAACATTAAATATACTTTATTAAATACTTTAAATTACTATAAAAAGTGTGTATTAAATTTATTTTTTTATAAATTTGAGATAATAACAATTTTATTTTTAATAACGGATTTTTATTTTTAACATGTTTTTGGTGACACACGTTAGAAGAAAAAAAGAAGAAGCTTGTGTTAGATATGTACACTTCATGTAATATGTAAGAGTTATCTTATCCCCAGTGTATCCAAGAATCTTTGAATAAGAGGAAACAAACAGATTATCTGCCAATGCCTTATGAGATGGGAATGCCACTCTATTTTTTTGCGAATGAAAGGAATGTCACATATTTGGTAAGGCCCTGAATTGTAACATATCCAAAAAGCTTTGGCAGGTTCATTGTGCTCCCATACCTGATCCAAATGAGCATCCATGCATTTACAACTTCAGCAGATAGCATTGAGGGCTTCTTTTTGGGTCATTATCCAATTGCTTTAGCTTTATCCATGATGTTACAATCACAAATTCTCTTCATAGAACTTTGTGGATAAAACTTAAGAAATCAGATGCATCACGCATGTCATATTGAAATAAAGATAATTTATTTTATTAGCTGTGTCCCTTTAAGTGACTAATTAAGTACACTTTAATTTGCAATACTTTGGTGAGGAGGGGTTATTATTCTGAACTTGTGTTTAAGCTTCTCCCATTATAAATGAAAGCTTTAATTTGGCATGTAGAAGCACTTTTGACCCAGGCAAAAACGAGATAAGAAAAACTAACAAAAAATAAGTTAACTAAAACTAGATGTAGTTTTCCATGTAAATATGAGTTATCACACATTAAATTCGGATTTAACTTTTTGGGAGGAGGGGTTATATTTAAAAAATAAAGTGTAATTATAACGTATAATTTGTTATATACGTGCATGAATTTATTCACTTGATTCAACCTCTCATTTTAAAATGAGTATCTAATTAATTTACATTATTCACCTCATAATTAGAATTAAATGACTTTTTTTCGCAACTTTCTTCAATGACTCGTTCTTATAATCTAATTTTTGGTCAAGATAATAGTTTATAGGTAGTATAGAAACGATATGGAACATGAATACGATACAACAAATTTAAAAAATTATAAGAAATGACATGACTATGGTATATCATATAAAATCGATAAAATAATAATATAAGAACACAAATCTTAAAACAAAAGAGAATTTTATGTTACTTTAGACATGATAAAATGATATTATTTATATGATTATTAATTATTATAGTATTTCATCTCTATTGATATAGATGTTCATATTTTTAAAATATAAATAGAAGTGTATGATATAAATGTATGTTCAACGTAATACAATCACGGATACCGCTATTGTGAAGCATCTGTGTTTTCTAGATTAGTTTTTATTTGTGCATTGGTTTTCTCTAAGATATTTTTCATCACTAAAGGGTTGTTTGAAAATGAGGGTTTTGGAGGGGAGAAAAGAGAAAAAGAGGATATAAATTTATATTTTAAATAAATATATTTAAAATTAATGTTTTTTAAAAATAAAAGATATAAATTAATATATTAACAAAAATTTAATGTATTAATAATATATTTGACATCATAAATAATATATAATTCTTTTAATTTAAAATTAAAAAATATGTTTCCCTCTCTTTCTCTCCAAAAACCTCCTCTCAAATACACCCTAAAGAAAAGATAATAGAGACATTTAATGAATAATAATGAAAATACTTGTGGTGAGGTATGATTGAAAGTGACAAATAAAAAACATATATAACAAAACAAATTAATGCATAACATATAATCTTAAAATTAAACACGTGAATTTATCTAAAATAAAAGAGAAAAAACTAATTAGGAGAGAGCTAATGATGAGTTTATGTCTGCATATTCAATAATATGTTTATAATTATAGTTTATTAAACATCATTAAGTTTATAATGAACTAATTATCAACTTGACCAAATTCGTACATAATGTGATTAGGTGTACATGTGCCATAGAAGAGGAACCTTTACACATGTATGGGCATTACGGGTAACAGCCAAAGTTTTGTTGCATTAAGCTTCTTTTTTGGGTCATTTCGGTCAAGGGGTCATTAAAGTTGGGTTACAATAAAGAAGCCCCAATAAAAAAAGGCCCATAATTTAACATGACAAAAAGGTCGAGACACCAACTCTGTACATTAGCCCAGGCCACTTTGCAATGTAACATGGGCCATATGACCTAACAATTAAAGATGGGCCAGGAAAGAAAAGCCCAATTCATTGCCAGAGAGAGAAACTGAAAACGCTTTGTTCCTCTTTGTGAAAATGCAGCGTTGAGCAAAGTGTGTTTGTGAGAAGCATCATGAGCCGCTACGACAGCCGCTCCGGCGACCCCACTTCGTACCGTGACCGGAGGAGGTAACCACCTGCACCGTTTTATTGTCAATATTAATTTTCTGCACTTTTTCTGGAAATAATTGCAATTATTATTATTTTTAATGCTTAATATTTTTCTACGATGGCTATTTTGCATACCCATTAAGTGAAATTATGAGAAATTCATACCCTTAGCTCTAGTTGACATTGACAACATTACTAATCCCCAAGTATTTTAACCTCCGAGTCAATCTTCTTTTATAGTTGTAATGAAGTGTACATTTTTAGGCTTTATTCATGGGAGAAACATTTACAACTTCTAGTTTCGTTCACCTTAGGTCCAAATCCAATGGTATATTAACTGAATGTTCCAGTGTCACTGTCAACAAACCCATTCCATCAATCATTTGTATTTTAATTTCATTTTCATGGTTGTTTTTAAAGGTTTTTTTTTTTTTTTTCCCTGGATCCAAGTAGAGGCTTGTAGTAGGGCTTGCAAGGGGGAGGGAAAGAGGGGATAAGGGAAAGAGAAAGGGGTGGAGCACATTGCAGGAGATTGAACCTGCACACACAATTCATGCCCTGCTGCTTAATCAATTGAGCTAACTCGAGAGGACCGGGGTTTAATTTAATTTGTTTTGTTCAATGTGGTCATAGCCTGCTATGGGTTTTTGTAAAAAATTTAAAGTTCAGTAAGCATTCGGGAAGAGGTATTAGACTATGTAGAAAATATCTCATCATATCATTGTTGTATACTGAAATATTTTAAAGTATCTTAGATGATTTTTAAGGATTGCATATTTCACTATATTTAATAATTCTTTACTTATTTAATTATGGTTAAGAGTCTAGTATTAGTATAATTGAGGGTTAGTGCATTGTATTTTGTAATGCATTATTGCACGCCATATATTAACAATACATTGTATTATTCAACCAGATATTGATGTTATATTAATATTGTCAACAGTGGTAGTCTTATCTATGTGTGATTAACCATTTTACTGTTTGTTTTGTTAGTGATTCTGGGCTAGGTGCACCTACAGGGTCTGGTGGTTCGGTACAGCATTCTTCATCAGACAGGAGGGATTATGATGATGGTGGGTCACCGAGGAACCTCAATTTGGATGGTTTACCTCATTTTGAGAAAAACTTCTACACTGAGTCACCGGCAGTAAGGGCAATGACAGAGGTTGAGGTTAATGAGTACCGGCAGCAGAGGGAAATAACTGTTGAAGGTCGAGATGTCCCCAAACCTGTTAAGACCTTTCACGATGCCAGTTTTCCAGGTATTTTTGTTCCTTTCATGTTTTTATCTTTTCACTTTTTCTTTTCTCCTTCAGCTCAAAGAACGTGACCCCTCTTCCTTTATTGCTTGCACAAAACTATGTCCAGAGCTGGTTATTTGGAGGGATTGTTGATTATAATAATTCTGATTTCTTGTAGAAGTGGGGTTTCAGATTTAGCTATATTACTTTTATAGTTTTATGGTGAAGTGCGCCTGGGATTCTGTAGGAGTTCAAGGATTAGTTCTATGGGTAAGATTGCCAAGCAAAATAATGTGCTAAAAGTATTTTCTAATGGTTGAGGAATTGCTTGGCTGATCTTATTCAGAAGACTACATGTGATTCATTAAATTGAAGTGGTCTAAACTTCCACTTTGCAGAATATACAGCAAAAGAAAGGAAATAATTTTTTTTGTAATTGATTATGTATGATTTTCTTGCAAATCTTTTTATCAGATTATGCTATGACATGTTTCAAACAGCTACTGATTTTACAGCCTTGATTTATTCCAGAATATGTAATGCAAGAAATTACAAAAGCTGGCTTTTCTGAACCTACACCCATTCAGTCTCAAGGTTGGCCAATGGCTTTGAAGGGGCGTGATCTGATAGGAATTGCAGAAACAGGATCAGGGAAGACTCTTGCTTACTTGTTGCCTGCCATTGTGCATGTCAATGCTCAGCCAATTCTAGGTAAGGAAATAAAGAAAACTGAGACAATTGCATCCATATTTGATGTAAATGTGCCATTTTTTGTCTTTTTACTTTGTTTTGCTGTTCATTCATTACCAATATTTTCAGATCCTGGAGATGGACCAATTGTGTTAGTTTTGGCTCCGACTCGTGAACTTGCTGTCCAAATACAACAAGAGGCGACTAAATTTGGTGCATCATCAAGGATTAAGAGTACATGCATATATGGTGGGGTTCCAAAAGGACCTCAGGTGCGTGATCTCCAGAAAGGTATGTGTTGAAGCAAGTATACAAGCCATGAGCTTGCTTAAATAACTTACTAATTAATTGTTAGCCCTTTGTTTAATTTTTATTTTTCATAATTATTAATTTTATTTTGGCTGTTAATTTTTGCAATTAGGTGTTGAAATTGTAATTGCCACTCCGGGAAGGTTAATTGATATGCTTGAGTCAAATCATACTAACTTGCGGAGGGTCACATACCTTGTACTGGATGAAGCTGATAGGATGTTGGATATGGGGTTTGATCCTCAAATACGGAAAATTGTCTCTCAGGTTTGCTTTATTTTATTCTGTGGCCAACATTTTGAAATAATAAAATTTCAAGAAATGGTGTAACATTGTATTGTGTTTTGTTAGAGAGAACAGATTGCTTAAGCACTTGCAGATTAAAATTTCTTTATTCTCCTACTATCTGATTATTGATTGGTTGTCTACCATAGATTCGTCCGGATCGTCAAACATTGTACTGGAGTGCTACCTGGCCAAAGGAGGTTGAACAGTTGGCAAGGAAGTTCCTTTATAACCCATACAAAGTAAGATATTTTCATATTGCAATATGAATTGTATTTTTTTAAAAAATTTCATTCCAATATGTTGAAATGGTTTTTGATCGGAAATGAATTGTCTTTTAAAAAATATGTATGATTTTGTATGTGTATAGTATTGTATTCTTTGAGTACTTTATATATATATATATATATAGTACAGAATTAACAATTTCTGTAACCATTATGCAGGTAATTATAGGCTCACCAGATTTAAAAGCTAACCATGCAATACGGCAATATGTTGACATTGTTTCGGAAAAGCAGAAATATGATAAGTAGGATGTGTTCTACCTTATGTTCATTCTTGTTGCATTTAACAACTTATTGCCTAGAGCCACTTAGTGGAGTCTTCCTATTTGTCAGATTGGTGAAGTTGCTAGAGGACATCATGGATGGCAGCCGAATACTGATATTCATGGATACCAAGAAAGGATGTGATCAGATTACTAGGCAGCTCCGCATGGATGGCTGGCCTGCACTTTCAATTCATGGAGATAAAAGTCAAGCAGAAAGAGATTGGGTGCTCTCAGAATTTAAATCTGGAAAAAGTCCTATTATGACTGCAACAGATGTTGCAGCCCGTGGTTTAGGTACCGAAGCTTCTGTGTTAATTATTTGGCAGATATTCTTATTTAGTGTATGAAAATGTAGTGTTAAATGTTACTTATGGAAATATTCATTACTTTTATTTATTATGGAAATATTAATATTAAATTACTGTTATCCTAGCTTCCTTTGATCTTTTATATTAAATACTTCTTTACTTATTTTTTCTTTCATCTATTTTTACAGCCTTTGATTACTTGTTAGATTGTTCTTGAATTGTTTGCCTTTTTGAGTTCGAATTGCTCATCTGCTAGCAGTTGATCTCATTATTAGTCAGTCTTAGCTTTGTGTTTTGACAATTAGCAAATGGCTGCCACTTTGACTGATGACTTCCAGTTTAATTTGTCCGCTTTTAAATTTAACCATTAGTTTTGCTTACTTATCTTAATCCTTTCTACTATTTGATTCCTGTCAGATGTGAAGGATGTGAAGTATGTGATAAATTATGACTTCCCAGGATCACTGGAGGACTATGTTCATCGCATTGGGCGGACTGGGAGAGCTGGTGCAAAAGGAACTGCATACACATTCTTCACAGCTGCTAATGCCAGATTTGCAAAGGAACTTATAACCATACTTCATGAAGCTGGACAGAAAGTGAGTCCTGAATTAGCAGCAATGGGGCGTGGTGCACCACCTCTGCCGTCAGGTTAGTTAACTGGACCCAAGTATAACCTGGGCTTACAATGTTCATTTAATTTTTTGGTTCCCTACTTCTCTTAATTTTAGCTATATCTGTGAAAGGTATGCTTTGGTCATACTTGGCTGGCATCACACTTATGCATATAATCTGATACACTCTCCTAGAAGAAACAATGATTACTACTATAAGAATAATGTTCACATACAGTTGTGTTTGATCATTTTGTGAGTGGGGTTTGATTCGTTACTGTTTAGTGTATTTGGTTGGAAAGAAATGCTAGAATTTCCTCTAGGCGGCAATCTTGAGCTCATCTGGGATCCAGTAGCTTTTCTAGCTTCTTTTTTAATGTTCTGCTTATGGCCTTTTTAGGGGAGTGTCATCGATAGATCTTCAGAGAGATTGGCATGCTGTGTTACATGGTTTTTTTCCCGTTTAGTCTTTCTTTTGATGTCTTTTTTTCCCTTGAGGATTTCTTATCCTCTACTCTTGTATCTTTCTCTTATGAAAGAAGAGAAGTTTTTTCCTTACAATAAATTGATTAATCATTCATGTAAAACTATGGCCAATGTTTATCTTGTCATTTTTATCCAAAGGGATTATTGTGTCCTTGGCCTCTGGGACCTGTTCAAAATTACAACATGCTGCAATTATACTAGTTTGCTACGTTTATTGCACACTTTTGGTTTCTGAAGTTTTCATTCATTCTTGTACAACAATCAATCAGGTTCCCGAGGTTTCCAAGACCGTGGGAGGGGTTATGGCGGTTCTCGTCCTTGGAGCTGATTGATGAAGGTGTAGACCAACTTGATTGACAAAGGAAACTATCATGTCATTCGTGTTTGCTCTTAACGTGTTATGCTGTCCTAATTGCTAATGAATGTAAACTTGTAAGAGTAGCATAGGAATTCAGTATTCTTGTTCCACAATTAACTTCGTACAAATGTCCATAGAACATGTACCATCAAACAATTGTTTATAAGTCATAGTTCATAGCATAACAAATCATTTTGCAGGAAACAAGGATCACATTTATTAGTTCACCTTATTGTTTATCCTTCTCATGTTTCACGGTTGATTTGCTGACCAAAATCTACTAATTTTTCCTTCTCTTTTTGGATTACTGCATTGCAAGTGAAGAGAATTACCCAAAATTTACGATCAAATTTTTTTGAAAAAGCATTTTCTATTTTCGTTCTTTAATTGAAAAAATAACTATCATTAAAGTATTTGAAAAGAAAAAAAAAAGAAATATCATTTTCAAACTAATCATGCTTTATCGAAGGAAATAGAAATGCATAACATGCCACCTCAGATGCATATAAGTTTTACATGTGGCTTTGTGTACGCATGAGCATTCTTCTATTGGTTATGTAGCGAACCTCAAATTCAAATAGATACTTGTGTTCATAGTTGGCTGGTCCTGTAGCAACCGGTTTTTCAGTCATAATGACCAAAGCTAGAAAACCAATCCAAGATTGATCATCATGAATGAGTTGCCTGAAAAATGATTTTTAACATTGTTAAAAGAATCTCATTTTATTAGTTCTCTACCTTCCTTACTAGTTACCACTTAGAGCTTGTTTTGTTTCGTCCGTCCTAAATCAATTTTAAATAAACGTTTAAGATTTTACAAACATAAATTTTAAGAAAAGTTTAATAATAACGATAAATTTTCGATTTACCAAAATCGATTTCGGTTATCTTCTAATCAACTTGTCCGTGATATAGAATCAATAGGCAAAAGAAACTATTAATCATAATGTGTATAGGGAAATCATCAACATTTTCAGGCAATGTTAATATCTCTTTGACTTTTTTATGTATGATAATCTTTGTCAAATCTCTCCTTAAAGCATGCGTTGTAGTTAGCCCCTCTAAAATTCGTGACACAGAGCATATGGATGTTTATGATTAAACTCTGTAATTTAGAAATTAATCTAAAAATAACATCTGATATATAAGTAATTAGTCCCTCATATTCTTGACACTACCCATGCCTGTTTGTTATTAAATTTAATAATTTTAAAAATTAATCTAAAAGTAACATTTCATTGGTCAATAACAGTAGAGAGTGTGAGATTGGTGGCAGGGCATATGTATGATAGGGGTGGCCATAGATTAGATTTTCAAAAAATCAATTTAGATCCATTTAAAATTCAATTATATAGATTGAATTATAAACTAATTTATTTTAATTTTTTTAAAACCAGTTTAAATTTAGTTTTAAAATTTGGATTTAGTTTAAAATTAGTTTTAAATCGTTTTTACATATGATAAAAATATACTATAATTTTTTTAATTATTATTAAATTATTCTATTAAAAAATATTTAAATTTTATGATAGATAATATAAAATTATATATATTTATTTATTTTTTAAACATTAACATTAATTAAACATAAAATATGAATACAATGAGTACTCTAATCTATTACATTTGCAATACATGTTTAAAGAATATTTAAGTATATTTTAATTTATTAATAATATTTTTTATTTTTATATTTTATTAAAGTAATAAATATTTAGATATATTCTACTTTTTATCATCAATCCATCATACAAATTAATTATATGAGTTGAATTTTAAACTATTTTATTTATTTTTTTAATCAGTTCAAAAATAATTTTAAAATTTAAATTTAGTTTAAAATTAATTTTAAATTTAATTTTTATTGAAACTAATTTTAAATTTAGTTTGACGTTGAATTAGTTTTAAATTTAATTTTAAATTTAATTTTTAATATATTTTTGAATTATATTTTTAAGGTAAAACTAATTTATTATACAAAATATTACATTAAATTAATGCATTTCATAAAAATTTTAACAATATTTATTAATATATTATATTTTATAGAAGTATATAAAATATTTATTATTATTTTTAACTTATTTTTAATAAACAGAGTTTATAGTAAAAATTTAAATTAAAATATATAAAAATAAAAAATTAATAATATAAATAATAATAAAATTTTTGTTATAATATTTTAAAAATAAAAAATATATAAATATAAAAACAACAGTAATAATTAATTAAAAAATATTTTTTTATATTTTAATATATTTAATTATTTTAAATATTTAATTTTAATTATAAAAATTAAGATTAATAAAAAATATTAATTAAAATATAGTTATAATAAAATTTTGTAAATTAATATAATGTTAAATTTTAATAAATAAAAATATAAAGTTATTTTATATATATAAATTTAAATAACTAAAAAAAAATTAGTTTTAGAAAATAGATTTAAATATTAAACTGATTACTCAAACAAGTATAGTTAATAAAAAAATTAGTAGTTTAACGTGAAAGTAGATTGAGTTTATAAACCGTTAGTAGATTGAGTTTATAAAATTGAATTTTTTGAATACTCCTGATGCATGAGAATCCTAGAGAGAGTGTGTGATCGAGTGAGTGAGAGAGAAGAAAAGAATGAGTGAAGGTGAACAAGCTCCTCCAAAGCTCTATGCTAACAAGCCCCGAAAAGGTTTTATTCTCTCTTTTTCGTTAAGTAAAATTGGGGAAAATCATATTAAATCTCTTGTTTTGATTCAAAGTTTGTGTATTTGGTAACAGCGCAATTGAAGCAGTTTCGGGGGCAACATAAATCTAACGAGTTCTCCTCGCCGGCGGCGATGGGACACACCACTACTCCGCCGCCGCCCCCCAAGGAACCCTTTGTTCGGCGCTACAAATTCCTTTGGCCTATGCTTTTGGCCGTGAATCTAGGTGTTGGAGGTGACTTTTCTTCATCCCAACAACAAAAAGTTCGTTTTTTTTAATGTTTAATGTTTAATGTTTTGTCCCTTGTTGATGATGTGGGAATTTATGAAATGTGATTTTGGAATGGATATGTGTTTTCTGGGTTGATCTTCTTTGGTAGTGTGTATATGTTGCTAAGAAGACTAGATTGTTGAAGTTGAGGATGAAACAAAGTTTGCTTTTTCTTCCTCTGAATAATGATGGCTTCTTTTTTGTTTTGCTTATTAGATGGGGTAGGAGGAAAACATAATTTTTGTTTTGGGTTTGAAATTTACTGGGTTGGCATCTATGGAATATTTGATTTCATTTATGGACAAATGGAGGAGGCTAAATTGACAGTGAGTTTTGTTTTATTTGGTTTGGACTATCATTGTTTATTTTGACAAGTTGATTCATGAGGATGATGAGTGAGATATAAGTTCATGACGGTGGTGGTTTCTCGGGGATGCCAGGTTTAATGATCTTCAGGTTTTGCAGCACAATGTTCACTTCTGATGATGAGGATGGGGAGTGAGTAGTTCAAAAGCATTAGACTGGTTATGACTAACAAATGAAAAAGAAAAAAGAAAAAAGAAAAAAGAAAAAAAGAATCACATGTTTAAAATGTAAAGCTTTGACTTTATATCTAAGGATGGTACTTTTTGTGAAAGGCCAAAATAGAGGCTAGCCTTTATTGCTATGCTGCATGCTTGATTATTATTTTCTTAATATGATGGCTGAGGTTGTTAGTAGCATCATTTCTAAGATCAGTGTGCTAGTTTCCTATAATTGTAACTTTTAGGTTGCTTTTGGAACTGAAGGTTTTGTGGTTTTGGCAAGAATTTTTAATATGTATCATTTCTTTACATTTGATTCATTGAATCAAGGTTTGACCAACAATGATAATCAAGCTCATACCCTAATCATTTTTGGGACTGTATAGTATGGACTACAACATGCCGTAATCATTCTAATTTCATTCTTTATCAATACATCATCCTATGTACATGTTTGCATCCATGTACTTTTTTATATTTTGCTAAAGTAATGTATTCAAATGAACCTTACAGTAATTGCCACTGATCTTGTGGAGGATGATTGATTGGCTCATGTATGTTTCTAATCTAAGCTCAGAGTGAAACAGGATGTGAAAGCAATTTATCCTATACATGATTTAGTTAATAGGATAGAACAGAAAAGCTCTAAAGATCAAAGGCATACAAAATACACATTTCTGGTATTATCTTAAACTTAAATATATACTGGTTAGTCAATGTCCTAGTATTTGCTGCAAAGCATAGCTGCAGTACTGTTGTGAATATGGAAATTGAATTTAGTTTTATAAATTTGTAGCAAAAGGTGTTGATGGTTCTCTAAGCTTGTTTGATGATAACTTAGCAAAAATTAGCCTCTCAATTAAGAATTCATACATCTGTAAAATATATTTTGAAACTTGTAACTATTCTGCTCTGCTAGCATATCATATTTTTCAGTCTATTAAATCTTGCTCATGTTGTTTTTCTGATATCAACTCTCGTATGCTTGAATGTATTTCTATTGTTAAAACATATCTTGTTCTTGTTGCTAGATATTGGACTGATGAATGTATGAACTGTGTATCTGTAGCTTATTTGTTTATGAGGACAAACAAGAAAGATACTGGTGAGAAGGAGCAAGATTCAAGTCCCGTCTCAACTAAAGATGTTACTGCTCATGTTGCTGAGACGTCTGTGTCCTCACCATCCATTACAAATCCTGTGATCAAACGAGAACCAATTCCAGAGGGCCAACAACGGGAACTCTTGAAGTGGATATTGGAAGAGAAGAGGAAGGTCAAACCAAGAGATGCAGAGGAGAAACAAAAAATTGATGAAGAGAAAGCTCTGCTTAAAAAGATTATTCGGTCAAAATCAATTCCAAGTATCTGATGATGTTCCTCTTTATCAGCTGGAGCAAAAAAGAAAAAGAAAAGAAACAAAGATCTTGAGTTCTAATGTACTTGAATTGATTCATCCAATGTTTTTCTTTTGTTTATTTGGTTTGTTCATGAATTTTAGATTGTACATTTGTTGAGATTTTAGAGTTGAGGGTCCCCTGATATCCTAATTTATCATTTGCAAAATTTGAGCTATGGCTCACTGGTTCTTTTTGGTCTGACTATATATAGTACGAGAAGTTGATGGCACTTGATGTACAATGCTCATGTTCTTTTACTTATAGATGTCATTTGTATTGTCAAAATATTTATTGATTTTTGTGAATAAAGCCAGATTTGAGTTAGAGCCTCAGCACATGGCAAGTGCAGAGGCTGGTGAACAGATTTGCTTAAGGCAATTTAAAGCACAAAGATGAGGGTACGAATTAACTTGTGCAACCACAATGAATTTTGATTGAATCTCAGTATTTACTCCAAGTTTCTTTCATATCAAACGCTTTGCTAGGATCTGCACTTCATAAATAGAAAGGGTGGAAGGTTTTCTGAAAAATACTCTCTTGTAGTGCTTGTCAACAATTTCATGAATAAAATGCAACTGGTTATTTTTCAATTTCCAAGCCATGCATATTCTCCATGTCTTTTTGGGGTGCTGAATTGCATATTCACCTTGTTTGAGGGATTAGAGTAATGACTAGAGTTTCACATGGGCCTAATGTGAGCATGCACAATTCCCCAAAAGGATGTGGACACTGCATTGTGCAGACTGGCAGGGTTCCCACAACATGCATGCAAACCAGCCTCCATCTCAAAGCCAACCACGAATATACTATTAAGTTATTATTATTATAATTTTTTTTTTATCAATTAACTAGTCTATTTTCTGTTTAATCTTTTGAGTAAGAGAAAAAAAATAATTTTCTTGTACTCGATGGTCCAAGTTCCTCAAACTCCAAGAGAGAGAGAGTGTGTGTGTGTATATATATATATATATATATATATATATATATATATATATATTTATTTATTTCTGGGATTCTCACTTATGTAGTTTAATAACTAAATAAAATTCAGAACAGCGCCGAATAATCCCTGCTGTCAAAATGATATTAAAGTATGAATGCTGAATTGGTTACCTATATCACTTTAAACTAAGACAAAAAAGCTGAAAATCTACAAAATCAAGAAGTTGGCCATTGTGATAATGATATAAAAATAGACAACAAAAACAAAATTGTTGACTACAGTCAAAGAAGCTTTATAAAAGCTTAATCAAAGTTGGGTAGGCACATGAAATCATCTACTTAGAGAAGATATTTATGGTTTATCTTCAAATACCTGCTTTCATGCAAATTTGACACACTTATTCTTGCTTGGTCCATTAAAAGAATGTACTGCCACTGCCCCAATACATTTTAAAGTCATTCAAATGACGGTACAAAATAAGTAATTTTATATAGTAGAGAGAAAAAAGGGTATGTGACCTTTAGCATATAATATGAGAAAGGATGGAAATGATGATAACGTGAGAGGTTGTGGAAGATTGGATTGAACAAAATGTTGAAGAGAGAGAGGAGTTTTGAGGGGGGGAGATGATGATGATGGATGAATGTGGTTGGACTTATTGAGTTTCACATGAAGGCACGAGGTCACCCAACTGCTACTACCGAAGGAAAAGGAGGGGGGGACGCCATAATCCAATGTGCTACAACAACAATCATGCCCTTTTGTGGGGACTTCTTTTACTCTATAATATGAAACAAAATCATAAACTAAGCAAAACCAAACAAGCATTATTAGTTAATATTTCACAATATCAAGATATAAAAAGCTTATTCTCTCACTTCACTTTACTATATTTGATAATTTTTTTGAGATTAAATTTGATATTTTATCAAAGATAGTGTATATTTCTTGGAATTTGAGATATAGATAATAAGCTACTGATCTTAGGCCGACATTCCCAACCCGAAATTAAAACTGTTGACCCAGTTAAGTCCAATGGACAAAGTTAGCACTAAAATTCTCTGTGCCTTGTGAATAAAATAATTGAATAGTGAAAACTATGCTTTTCTTAATGTATACATAAATATTCTCCCTAATGCAAAAAAGTAGTATAAATCACACCACAAAATCTCTCTCCTCCCTCTTCTTGCACGCGTACACACACATGCACACTGAAATCTTTCATAAAGAAAAACGTTTTGGCTGTGGCCACCATATGTGATTACACATATTTAAGCCAAAACTTACTGTATTAGAGAGTGTGTGAGAAAATAATGGACAATATTTGGATTGTGTTTGTGACAGTATTTCTCTTATGCACTGTGATACTCTATAGGAACAGGCTTAGCCTTATGCTCAAATCAAAACATAGAAACAAGCTTCCATTAGGCACTCTTGGATGGCCATTTATAGGTGAAACCATTGAGTTTGTTTCATGTGCTTACTCTGATCGCCCCGAGAGCTTCATGGACAAGCGACGCAGCACGTAAGTTCATATCTTAAATCATTTTTCATGCACCATTGATCAAAGCATGCACTTCATTTTACTCTCTATGCGGCTTCATTACAAGTTAGCTTAAGGTTCTTACATGCTATCACATATCAAAGTTGAACTTATGGTGTTATGCTGTGAGTATGTATCTAAAGAAAAACCGTATAGCCTGTGAAAAGTCTCATCATGTATTGGTTTCTAGAATTGTATCTGCAAATTTTATGTTAAGGATTTGAGTGTGTTGAAACTTGTAGGTATGGCAAGGTGTTTAAGTCACACATATTTGGAAGCCCTACAATTGTGTCCACGGATGCAGATGTGAATAAATTCATACTGCAAAGTGATGCAAAGGTTTTTGTTCCTTCTTATCCTAAGTCTCTTACTGAGTTGATGGGAGAGTCTTCTATTTTGCTCATCAATGGAAGCCTTCAGAGGAAAATACATGGACTCATTGGAGCTTTCTTCAAGTCTCAACAGCTAAAGGCTCAGATTACCAGAGATATGGAGAAATATGTCAAAGAATCAATGGCAAGCTGGAGGGAGGACTACCCCATATACATACAAGATGAAACAAAAAAGGTTAACTCTGTTTCCTTCTATTTTATCTGACTCTGAAGGGGTATGTGAGTGTTTGTACTTGTGTGTTTAAGCCTATCTTTGTCTGCCTCTCTCTACCATGTGGTGTAGGGGTCAGAATCTAACTTATGTCACGGTTAATTCTTGAGAATAGTTCCATCCAAAAGACACGAGATAAAACAATAGATGCTCCTTCTCTTAAATCTATACATGGGATCTTGTTCTGTGTTCAAGTTGTTTATATTAAATCAACCCCTCCAAAGTTGTGTGACAAAGTGATCTCATGTTTTTGTATGAGATGCAAAAGTAATAATTGGTGATTATCTTTCTGGCAGCCTGGCTCCTACTTATGTTTCTAAATAACATAATGATAAGTAAAAATCCTAGTTATCTTTTTGGGGTTCATAATCATTTTGTAGTAATCATGCTGCATTGAAATTGAGATTAGCAATTACAATTTACTCTTTTCTAAGATTCCAACAGTTACTTCTTTTTTGTCCCCAGATTGCTTTTCATGTACTAGTCAAGGCATTGATTAGTTTGGATCCGGGTGAAGAAATGGAGCTTCTAAAGAAACATTTTCAGGAATTCATCTCTGGCCTCATGTCTTTACCTATAAACCTACCAGGAACTAAACTTTATCATTCCTTACAGGTAAGTCAATTAATTTGAGATTGCTTTCTCTTATCGTATATACGATGTTGAGTTTGGTAGTAATGATGACTTCACTTTTGGCTTCAGGCAAAAAAGAAAATGGTGAAATTAGTGAGAAGAATTATCCTTGCTAAAAGAAATAGTGGCATCTCCACAGTTCCAAAAGATGTGGTGGATGTGCTTCTCCATGATGCAAGTGAAAAATTGACTGATGATTTAATAGCTGATAATATTATTGATATGATGATTCCAGGGGAGGACTCAGTGCCAGTTCTTATGACTCTAGCTACAAAGTATTTATCAGAATGTCCTCAAGCTTTGCAACAATTGACTGTATGTTATATCTTATCAAGCAATGAGAATCAAATTTACTTTACTACAAACCATAAGCATTGCTCAATTCAAAGTAATCTCATTTTATTTTGGTTAATTAGTAGTTATGCACTGGGCTCATAGTGGCCTAGTCTAAAAGTAGAATAACGTTTTGTTGTTACCATTGTGCTTCTTTTCCGCTATGCTATCAAAGATTTTGATTTTTCCTTAGGCACAATTGGCTAGTAGTGATAGGCTTATGTCCTTTCTATACTAGCAATATGACTGTAAACCTCAAAAGAGGAGCCAACATCAAACTCATGTAAATGCGTATTGATTTTGTCCTCCCATTTGTCAAAGCTTTTGAAAAATCTCAGTGGTTGTGGAATCATCATATGAGATTGCTACATGCACCATTAAGAAAATCTTTGAACTAATATTCTGATTGGCTTTTGACAAACTACTTTTAATGATTCCCAGGAGGAAAATATGGAGCTTAAGAAACTTAAAGATCAGGTTGGGGAGCCCTTGTGTTGGAGTGATTATTTATCATTGCCATTTACTCAAACAGTAAGGAAACCATGCTCCTTATCAAAGACAAATAAAAATAATCCATTATTTTCAACTAACTTATTGCGTGCTCCACTTCTACAGGTCATCACTGAAACTTTGAGAATGGGAAATGTTATTATTGGTGTCATGAGAAAGGCCATAAAAGATGTAGAAATAAAAGGCTACTTAATACCAAGAGGGTGGTGTGTGTTTGCAAATTTTAGATCAGTTCATCTAGATGACAAAAACTATGAGTGGCCATATCAATTCAATCCATGGAGGTGGCAAGTAAGAGAAATATGTTATTCTAAAGTTATTAGTTAATTTCTTCATGTTTCATTAGTATGTTTGTTTGTTTAGCTTAAATGATGAATTGGGTGGTTTCAGGACAAAGACATGAGCAATTGCAATTTCACTCCTTTTGGAGGGGGACAAAGGTTGTGCCCGGGCCTTGACTTGGCCAGGCTGGAAGCTTCCATCTTCCTACACCACTTTGTCACTCAATTCAAGTAATCATTCTACACTTCCTTTCTAATTAGTGAAGACAGTGAATAATTATTAAATGTTATCATGCCCAAATATTTGACCTCCCATTCATTAATATCTCCTTATGACATAGGAGCAAAAGCAAAATCATAACAGCAAACATGAAAAATTCTGTCAATCTGAGAACCGAGAGGCTTTACATGGGCCTTTTTCTTTACTTTTACATTTTCACTCATGAACTCTTTTCAAACTAAATTGATAGCAGAAAATAATATATTCCATACATCTATCTGGGTGGGTCAATGGCATAAATATCTCTTTCTTGCATATGAACAAAGGGGGAATCCAAGTTGTAAAGTTTATGGGGCCTGAAAGCCTTACACGATGCATCAGGATTCAGAAAAGTCACTTGATCCTAATCTTTGGTGTATCATAATAAGTGCTATATTATTCATAGATAAACTTTTCACAACACTTTTTTTTTCTATTCATTTTATTTTCTCTCTCTATATCACATCACACATTTTATTCCACACTTCTCATTCAATCTCTCCTTAGTTATGAAAAATTTGTTGTAAAAAGAAGTGGTAGGAGTAGAATTTCTGATAATATTTTATCAGACTTCTTATGAATCGATCCTAACTGTGAGAAAGCCAAGATGCTTCTTGATTCTTGAATGTATCTACACTGTTAGCACACGTGACATGAGTCATGACTTGCCAGGCTAGTGGATTTTAGTCATAGTCATCATCCTTCAATTTCACACTTGCTTTCATGACATATAAAATAGAAACGAGTTGATTGGTGACAATAGCTCACAATCTCCAAGAAACCATTACTAAAGGGGAAGTGAGGGGAGAGATACAGAAATGTACCGTCATAGACGCAAAGAATGTTATTTCATTAGAGTACATTCTACTACTCTCATTTGCGCTGTTTATTTATTTATTTTCTGGTTGTTGGGAACCAAATTTTGTGGCATTTATATTATATTATTCCTTAGGAATATAGGTTTTGAATTCTAATTGCACATGCTTCTATGAAGATATACACACTCACACACTAAAAAATGAAAGATACTATAATAAGAAGCTATGTTGGTCAAATAAGGTTAGGTAGACAAAGCTTTTGATCGTATCATTAAGTCAAGCACCCTAAAAATTGAGGTATTGCTAGGTGTGCATAATATGCAATCCTATTAATTTTTTATGCTTTTCTTTTCTATCACCTTTGAACTCTGAAGGATCCTTTGCTTTGCTTAGCTTGTTTCAAACTTTTAATTAAAGAAAAAAAAGATTAAGTGCCACGCAACATCTTAAATTTCAATGTTTCACATGCAGATGGCATGCCGAAGAAGATACAATAGTGAACTTCCCTACTGTAAGAATGAAAAGGAGGATGCCTGTGTTGGTAAGGAGAGTGGAATCTTAAAATGACTTGGCCACAAAAAATGTGAAGCCACTAGACATAAGGGTACAGTACAATCAGCATATGATAAAAACTACAAAATGTGAAAGAAGAGAACAAATGGGGGGCCAGAAACATTGGCTATTGTGGACACACGTGTTGATAGCTTCATAAGCTTTTTCTGTCCCCTAGTATTTATTAGTCTTTGCACATAAGGACAATAAAAAGTTTAATCTTTTGAGGGACCCTTGAATTAGGTGTTTACTTTTCACTAATTCTTCTTTCCCATTTTACCTAGTGTGCTTGGAAAATAAAGGTTGATTGTAAGGAGAGCACTTTTATCTTGTTTTTAAGTCAGTGTTCTTTTTATTTTTATTTTCTCCTTTCTCTTCACCCCTTGTTTGTTCTCTTTCCTTTTTCTCCTTTGTTTGGAAGAGGAGGAGGAAAGGGAAGATAAGGTGAATAAGTGGACAGGGACAATAATAGTTTGAGTTTAAGGGTCCCATAAAATAATGATATTCATAGGACAACTTGCTGAAGGTTCCATTTTTATATACATTTATTCATACTTTAGGTCGGGATAATTGAAGACGGAAAGGAAAGTAAGTAATGCATACAAGGGCCACCACCCTTCAGTTTAATCAATGAAGTGCAGCAGCTAAACTAGAAAAAGGCACTAGGATCATTTTGAGATTCTTATCTAAGATTCTTGGTCTTCCATGGACTCCAATTCGTTTTTGTACAAATTGTACTTTAAAACCTAACCCTTGTTTAGTTCTTTCTTTCTTAATTCATAACATATTAAGGAAAAAACGGCTTAGAGATTAAACATAAGACTGAATTTTATCAGCTGATATTAAGTAACGTGAATTTCGTTTTGAATGCTCAAATTTTAATGTCACAAAAGGAAAAAAATTAAAATATTTTGTTTTGGGGATGAAAATCAATTTAACTATGATTGCAGCCTTTTTATTTTTTAAAGAAAAACCAATTCTAACTATCTTTCTTAAAGATATCTAGCTTCCTTTTATCCTTTAATTTTTGTTCGTCGGTAAATCTACCTTTGAACAATCTAATATGCAGCGTGAGACTCCTTAATTTAGACATAATCTAAAATTTATGGGCCTAATAGTTTTGGGTTCATATTTGCTGCTATCACTGACAAGTACATTGTTCTAATCCTCTTCTTTTGTTAAAAATTTAAGGAGAGAGAAGTTTCATTCTAAAGCCAATACATATCAAAAGCTTTAACAAAAACATACAATGAATGATGTTTATAAATATTAAATAACATAACAATAACATATATAAATTACATATAAAATATATAAATATCAACTAGAATCTATGAATATAAAAAACCATTATTAGCCATTCTTGGGCTTTTAGGTAATGTGCAGGGTTAACCATCGTTAGCCAGTCTTGGGCTTTTTATTTTGTATCTTTTAAAAGCCTAAAAAAGTCCTTGCCAATTATTCGTACCTCATTAAAAAAAGAGTGCAAAGTGCAAAGTTAGATTCTTAAAAAAATGTTATTTTACCCTTTCAATATATAGAAACGTTAGATTCTTAACACTTCAGCGTCAATTTAATTTATATTAATTTCAATGAACATTTTTTAGGGACGTTAACGATACACTTTTTTGAACATATTCTTTAACATACTTCATGCAATTATTTTATTTTATAAAAAAATTAAAATAATATTTAAAAAGTGATCTATTTATGAGACAAATATTTGACATTTTAAAAAATAACCAATTAAAAAAAGGTATATTGAAGAATGTGTAACTGGTATTTCTTTAAAAAAATAAAAAGAGTGTAACTCTAATTAGTAAAAGTGCATCAAGACACGTTTGCTTGCTTTATATTGCACTCGAGAGTTTGAAAAAATCTTCACCCAAACATTCCTAACAAACAGTTTCAACGGTATAAGCCATCACAAGTCACGGTAACGAGTTGCGTCGACACTCCTTCACGTAACAATTGATGATATTTTAATTATGACCATAAACACATTAAATTTTCAATATTTCATATGGTTCCTTGAATCGTACAAATAAATTTTGTGCACTGCACCAAAACGAGGTGTACAGTAAACAGACCAAACTAAACCGTAATTTTATCCCATTTAACCAGTTTACTGGTTAGATCAGATTTTTTAACACCCCTTGTGGTTTGGTCCATTTCCATAAATTTTCTCTGGTTGGACACATTGGGAGAGTGGAATCGCCAGAATCTACTTCTCAGAATAGCAACAGCTGATACACAGAACAAGCTTCCACTCCTTAATGTTTATGATTGCCATTGAATTGCCAGTGAGAATCATCAACTTCGGTGTTGAAAATGAAACTGGTAAATACTGTAGTGACGTCCCTGGCCAGTGACCAAACGAAAATGAGAACCATGAACTCACTCCCAACTAGCGCAATGCAAATCATGGAGATAAAGGAATGCAGAGATGATCCCATTTAATTAAGGACAAAATGAAAAGTAGTTCCAAACAAAAACGAACGAAAAGATATAGGAAATTGAAGTAACTGTGATTCCCATTATAGGCACCCAAATCAGTTTGGTTTGTTTTTGTTTTCAGTTTCATTTTCAATAGATATGTTTTCACTAATAATCACAGAAATCCCTCCTTGTTTTCACTTTATTTCATGTTTTGAAGAATTTACATTAGACATGCTGAATTCAGAAAAATGAAGCCATATTTTTATAAGCATCGATAAAAATTACAATAAGTAATAACAAAGGTACTTTTTTTTTTATTTGTCCGATTCTCAATATACTATTTGCTGATTGATACACAATAATGACATGATGGAAAATTATTCTGATAGACCTCCAATAACTAGAGTCGATAATAGACAAAATAAACAGGGGAACAGGGAATCAGACCAAAAAGGGCTTTAACCTAATGTAACAGAATATGCTCGATTGAAACTAGATTGAGGCATCTTGGAGATCAGAAGTATAATTGGGACTTGGAAGAATCCCGGATCTCTTGAATATCCAGGGAATCAACATTCTTTCTTTACATTCTTCCCATTCCCCAATGTTGCACCACATTAGGGAAAGATCAGAATTCGGATAATAATACATTCTTTTCATTCATATTTTTATCCATGTTTATCGCAATCATGATGGAAAAAGATATTAGTAAAAGAGGTAAGGTGAAAAAATTAATTACTTCAGATAAGGAAGAGTCAGGTGCTTTAAGAGTGTTGGGTGCCGAATAACAAAAGCCTTCCATTCTTCTTTACTTATCTTATCATCCTTGTCAGCATCAGCATCTTGAAATGTCTGATAAATTTTTTAAAAGGAAAAAAGGTTGGTTAAAGTATCCAAACTCAAATCAACAGAGAGAAGAAAATGTTCATGCTAACAATCACCTTATCAATAATGACATCAAGGACTTCATCTTCCAGATTCATGCCACATTCTGACAGAATGGCAACAACCATTTGCCTAACCTGGAAAAGGTTGCAGATTGAGAAAATGATTTCAGACGTTGGTAAACACTAAACTGACAAGAATAACAAGAAACACTTCATATGATTTACGTTCAGTTTTAAATACTATTCAATGGACATAAGATTGCTGCAGAGTTGGCAAACAGAAACCACCACTTTCCTTTGTTAAACTTGTCAAATCAAATTGATATTGCATAAGAGAATTCTGGTGCAACATTATTCTTTTATCACAAAATATATTTAAGCCAATAACATCTTCATAACCTGGACATTCCAAGATACTCACTTCTTCTCGCTCAATATATCCTGTCTGTCTCAAGTCATACAATCTAAAAGCAACTGCAAGCAAACCAATAAAAGGAAATTAATATTTTCATTATTACTAATAGCTTTAAACAAGGTAATATAAAAGTACAACTGCAAAATGCTTACTGAAGGCTTACAATCAATTTTCTTTTCCAAAGGAGTATAAGGATGAAAGACACTGAGCGCATGCACAAACTCTTCAAATTCTATAACGCCATTTCTTTTTTCATCGAATAGATCAAACACCTAGGAAGGAAAATGGCTGTAAACAATAAATCTTTCTGCAAAACAAGTATATATATGCGTGTAACCACACAACATTTTACTCTTTCTAACGGCAGGGGAATGGGGCAAACATACATAAAACAACAAATCCTGATACCATTGGCTATGCCGAATAAGGTCAACAACGTGAAATTAGATATTGAAACATAAAAAATACAGTTGTCAATCCGTAAGATACACCTTTCAGTGTCTTTATTGAAAAAAAAAAAAAAAGAAATACATCCTTGACCTCGAGTCAGATGACAAACAGTTTGAGTTTTAAGCCTAACACAGAAACCATTCTAAACTTAATACACGACAAAATGGGAGATAGCAAGTATCAGGTTGCAGCGGTGGAACTTGATAAAAAGAAAATCTTAAGAGTAGCGGTAGCTTGAATATGCTCTGGGGTTTTACTTTTTAGTTTATGGCTTACAAGGGATGACAATTATTAAATGGGAAAGGATTAAATTGAGTTGTGTGAACAATACTTCCACCTTGATTTGCCCAAATGCAACAGGAGATCAAAGAGTATGAACAAATTGATCAAAATAGCCTTCTTTACAATCATGAATGAAATCAAGGAAAAAACGAAAAACAGTTGTGAAAATGCTCAATACCCTGTCTAGGAAAAGATTCTCTCCAGTTGGGGTCTTCAACAGTGCCAAAGTGAGCTCTTCCTTCATAAGAGAAACAACACTAGTTAACAGTGATTGTACAAATCACAGACTCGACCCATAATTCTAAAAAGGAAAATGCACAAATCAAAAACACATTCCCAAACCCCAATCTGACTCAAGTAGTTACAACATATATCTTTTTCAAATGATTTAATTGAATCAGGTACCTTGTGGATGAGGCCATCATCAATGATTGAACTACTTAACTTCTTGAACAACTCACGCAACGCCTCAATTTCATTAACAGTAACTACCACAAATCAGAAATTAAAAATAATTAAAAAAGAGTTGCATTTCACGAACAATAATATAACAGTAATTAAGGGAAAGAGAAGAGATGAACATGGAGAATCCTTGGCGAGTGTGAGAATATCGTTGAAGGTAGGAGAAGGTTTCTTCTTCTTCTTGGGATTGAAATCGAAGCAACCAGCGAAAGTGTAAAACAAAGCTTCAGCTATTCCGATCAACGGAATGAACACCGAACACAAAATCTCTCCAAACGTCAAGCTCGATCTCTGACACAAATTCAAATCCAATAATAATAAGAACAGTGAAATTCATTTTCTTGGTATCCAAACACATATCAAACTGAAAATCGTGAGTTAGAAAAATGTATTAATTACCAAAGACAGAGAATTATTGGGGAAGTCCATATCATAATCAACCACATCCGAAACTTTTCGAGCAGATTAAAATGTCTTTTATTAATTATCCTCTTGATGACAAAATTTAGCTGCGTGCACGGTTTCTATATTTACGAGTTCAAACATTCTTGTTGAAAAGTTAACTGCAAATTAAAATTTGTTTAATTAGAAGGGTATTACAATTAATTATTAAACTATTTAAATGTAGAATAACATAATATGACACTTTATATGTAATAAAATTAGATGGCATAAAATTAGTTCGTTTTCAACTTTGGTTATTTTTTATATATAAATCAACTATTTATTAATAACTAAAATAAAAATAACTTAACATTGATTAAGGATTATATTAATTAAATTGATTAAATTTTTTGACAAAATTCTAGAAGTGTCTAAAAAATACAAGTTGAGATTTTAATTTTAGCTTGGTGCCACATGTTATTAGTTAATTATTAATTTTATTCATATTAAAAAATTATCAAATATATTTAATATTTTTATAAATCTATATAACTTTTATTTTTATGTAATTTTCAATTAACACTATTTTTTTTTAATTTTTAACAGAGTGACTAACTTGTACTAATTCACTTTTAAATAAGTTAAAGCTAAAAAATTTTGTTTACTTTAAACTAACACATTTTTTTAACATAATGTTAGCACAAGACAGGTTAACTTAATCCGACACCTCTACTTACGAAGTGTTATTTTTTTCAAACAATGCATCTTTACACTTATAATAATTACTACTTCTAATTTTATTTATAAAAATAACTATTACTTTTTTAAATTTAATTATCAAAAATAATTTTTAGTACATTAACCATTAAATTTTTATATACTTATTTATTGTAAATATTTATCTAGTATTTATTAAGTAAATTATATTTATTTATTCAATATAAAAATATTAATTTAACTATTTACTATTGTAAATATTTTTAAAATAAAACATAAATTTATAAAACATAATTAATTTTAATTAACTTAATAAAATAAGGATTTACTTTTTACAAATTGAAGCAAATATAGTATTTCTTATAAAAATTCGAAAATTATCTAAAATTTCCCAACAAGAAAATAAGAAATCCAACGCGATAATGATCGTGTTTGTGGTGAGGGGCCCAGGATATACAACGTGAGGCTGCGAATAAATGTGATTAATATACTAATCAAAGATAACTATTAATTAAACTAGTGATTAGTTTTTCTCCACGTGGATTAACTATTTCTTTCTTCCATGGAAACGGTCCAAACGGTCCAAACGGTCCAAACGGTCCAAACGGTACATACAAAAAAGGCAGTTAATTATTTGGCTAATTTTTTATATAGTATTTAAAAATAATATATACTAAAATGTGATTTAAAAAATATAAAAATACGATAAATTAAAATTATTAATTACAATTTTTAACTAAATTTAATTAATTTCTTTTAATTCAAAAATTACTAATGAAATTTTTAAATTAATTTATTTTATTTAAATTTTTTAATAATAATTTTTAAATTTAATTTTTTTTTGTAATTCTCTTTAAAATTTCAGATTTTGATATATAATATTTTATAATCTCATATTTAAATTAATTTTCTTCTACTTTCAATATGATCAATATTTTTGTGTGACTGTTGCATTAAAAAATTTATTAATTTCGTAGTACAAGAATTAGAATTAGTATATAGAGTATGTTTATAAGAATTTAAAATTATTTAATAAAAATATTAATATCAGTTTTAAAAATTTATTTACAAAGTTTTTTAAAAATGTTTTTATTAAAAGGTTACATATAAAAATATAATAAATATTTTTATTTCAATTAAAAATTAATGCTTTAATTTATTAAAAAATTAAAAAAATGATGTTGATAAAATCATATTTAAAAAAGTCATTTTTACTTTGGCGTGTAGAAGTCAATGTTCAACCTGATTAGGCGAGCATTAACCTTAAACAACGCTAAGTAATTAGGTACACGATTATTTAATGGATCCTTAATCAATTATTGATTCTTAAATAAATAATGAAGTGCTTATTTGACATCCTTATTAACCAATTCCTCTGTATTGACCTTATTTTAAGTATTTAAAAAATAGACTTAAATAGTTTTCTATTTTGATAAAAGTTGTTATGTTTAAAATTATTTTGTTTAAAATAAATTAACACATACTTTATAATAAAATAAATAAATAAATATATTTTTTATCATTAATTTTATAGGGCTTTAATTTAATACTCTCACATGTTAAACATGTGATAGAGGCTTGTCTTAATTAATGTATAGCATTTAAAAAGTCTTAGAATAGAGATTTAATTAAATTTTATTTTTATAAAATTGTTGTGTTTGAAAAATTAGCTTCTTAATTTTTAAATTTTTGTTAAAATTTAGTTTTTAATGAAGTTAGTAAATAAAAAAATAGTCCATATTTTTAACTTGTATATTCTTTAACAAATATCTTAATGAAATTTATTAACATTTAATTTATAACGATAAATGCATCATTGCTTAGTAGTAGTATTTTACAAACAAACTGATCTATAAGAATAATTTTGGTTGACACTGGCACATGTTATGGGTTGAAAAGTGCTTTTATTTTCTCTGCTTCCATATTTATTAGAACACTAGTGTTTGTGTGTTCATACTCAACCGTAGGTCTATGTGGTAAAGATAGGAGGCAATATTTTAGACCTCTTTCCTTTCACTAGAGAATTTGTATCAGGAAAATGAACTCCATCACTCGAGTCCTTCACATACCCTTCTTGTGTTACTCTCATAGGGTATGTTACAAGGTGCACGCCTTCCATGTCCACAATTTCTTCATTGCTATAGATTTCCCACATTTGATCTCCTATTGAGCACATTCTCTTCACACACTCCAAACTTTCTGGCTCTAAGAACAATTCATCATCACTAACAGTGTGCTCATACCATAGAGACATTCTATATGCATGAATATCACCAAGGTTCATTTGGTTATCAGCTACATCTTCATATTGGTAGCATCCTATGGCAATCTCAGTGTCTCTTTGCCCGTCCATGGATCTTTGGTTCATATTTGCTGATCCAATTAATATGTATAGGTCGTCCACTAGTGGCACATGCAAGAAAATATTTGTCAAACAAGAATATCAATAGAACTTTTACCATAATTCAACAATTTCACACTTCAATGACTTGGATGTTTATCATTTTATAAAATGCAGACAGAATACTGTGCAAACATCATTTCGAATAAGAAGAACCTTGGAAAATATGAAAAGGTTAAATAGTCTAACCGGTACACAACTAAAAAAATGATATAAAAATAAATTGATGAAAGAATTCTGTTATTTGAATAACTTTATTTTTAATATCTATACCATATTTTTATACTTTATTATACTTGTTCATATTTTTTCTCTCTCCATATCACATCAAAAGTTAAAAATGTGGAGACACCATTATGGGAGATTTTCAGATAACATTTTCAATGCTGAAAATGGTGTGCATGAGCTCAAAAGGTTGCTAATAAGCCAATTTTTAACTCTTGTCACAGCATATGAGGGACAAAGAAAAAATCAAAAAGTGAAAAAGAAAATAATAAATGAAGAATAAGGCTTAAATACCTATCATGAGCTTGGAGTGAACATAAACCATGAATCTCCTATTCTTTTGTGCATTCCAATATTGAGTTTCAGGATGGGGGGAATCTGGTGGAAGATACTCCCCTGGTCCCTTCTGCTCCCTATTTGCAAGGCAAAAGAAATTCAAGTAATCTCTTGGGTGTTCTGGTTCTCCACTTTCTTCTATTGCTTCTCCAATCAACCTATACATCATTGATATTGTTTCTCTAGTCCAATGCAGTATATCTTGAACAGGTTCACTTTCAGGCTCTCCTTCTGGCCACATTGGTATGACTATGTACACAGCAAACCTCTCCTTTGCTTTAATCTTACTTACCACCTTGAGTGCAATTTCAATAGGAACTAGATTATTGCAACCACAATGCCTATCCTTCTTCCACCAGTGGCACCCCCCAATGAAGTATTGGTTTTCAATGTAAATAAACCTTTCAGCTCTCCTAATTGCTTCAACATAAGCTTCATGAATGCTCCTCTCCACAGTTAACTTTGTAAACAACTCACCAACTGAAACGTGGTCAATTGACCTATATACTTGAACTTTCCAATTCCTCTCTCTAAGAGTGCTTGTGCTTTCCCGGGGCATAAGATTTTCTAAGGTGCTTGAAGGAACTAGAAAAGAAGGATCACACTGCTTTGTCCATCTTTGCTCAAAATTGGTTAGCACATCCCAAGCAGCTTCACCAGTAACACAAGCATGAGCATCATGCCAAGGCATTCTTGGCCCTCCTTTGTTTAGGCTAGCTCGTTCAATGTTAGTTTGGTAGAAATCATAACAATGAGATTCCCTAATGAGTGTTTGAAACAATGAATGTTGTTCCGTGTCATATCTTCCATCATACAAATCTAACCCTCCAACAAAGCTCATAAGTTCTCTGTCACCAACGGATGTGAGTGCTTTTGTGTCCACTGTTATAGTCTTTTGATGGTGAGCAAAGAGTGTGGGAAACTTAGGGTGTAATCTTGGACACTTCCTGCATATTACTTTTGTGTGGTTAAAATAAGCAAAAGCCTCCTCATCATGTGTGTTCATTTCACCTTTGTTCTTAATAAAGGGCAAAGACGTTTCATCATCCCATAGCATAACCCTCACAGCCACTCCTTCCTCTGCCTTCTTCTTCAATAGGTCACCCAACTTTATTCCTCTGGCATGTGGGATTTCTGTGTGAGGATCTCTAACCTGGCAAGGAGCATATTAGCTTCTCAAAAATGTCTATCAATATAAAAGGGGAGTGGTTCCTCTCATGTACACAATTTCATGATAAAATTTTGTGTCTATATCTCTTCAAAAATATTAAATAGGCCCTACCTATAAGGAGAAAGAGCTTAGATACAAAATTTAAACATGACTTTATGACATTAAAATTTAACATGAGAGGATCCATTCCCATCTGAAAAAGAAAGTCTTAAATATGAGCTCAAGCCTAACCAAGTCCCAAAAGCTAATTTATAAGGTGAAAATTGCTTTAACGTATAAAAGTTCTACTTTAGCCATATTTATTGTTGACGTGGGACTACAACAAAAAAAATGAAATAGCATTGCATTTACCAGAACCATCTTGGGATTAAAGGACCAGCCTGCAATATAAACTATATACTTTGCACCCTCAATGGCTTTATAGACATCCTCCCATAGCTTTTTTGGAGCTCCAAATAGATCAAAGGGAGGTAGGAAAGCAGAAGAATGGTGAGCATCATGATAAAGTTTAACATGACAATTGGACCTTTGTGGGAATGTAACATCCCTCAGCCCTTGAAATTGACCATTGCTTAACACCTTTGACCAACTTAGTTCCAATTCTGCTGGCTTGAACCATAATAGAAACTTTAACTTTAGTTTTGAGTTTGGCTTTCCATTTTCAATGAGGAGAGGGAAGAGTCCATTAATCAAGCCTCCTTTCTTCAATAGCTGCTGAGCTTGGATGTGGAATTTTCCCAATATGGAAGAACATGATGTTTTCAGTGTAATGGTGATAGATGAATCAGCTGGATGAGCACACTGAATCTGAAAGGTTTGGTTCCATACACGGTTGCTTTCTTGGCTGGTTTTTGCAACCTTGTGGTTGTCTATCTTAATAGTCACATAAGCAGCCTTTCCATTTGTACATATGCACTGAAAAAATTTAAAGCGCTGAAAATAAAAATAAAAATAAAGTTTAATACAAGGCATGAGTTTATTTAAACACTACAGAATTTTCACTGTAGATATATAAATACACAAATACACTAAGGATGAGTTTAGCATCATAGTTTAATTAAGAGCCAATAATCCCTTTTTACATGAGTATTTAGAGTCTATTTGAAATAACTTCTAAACAGTTCATGAAAACTAACTTATGAGTTATCTTATTTCAATAAAAAATTTTGTATAAGTTATTAAAATAAGTTGTTTTTACTTTATTTCAATAATTTTTATCATTAAATTTATAACATAACTATATAAGTCATTGTTCTTAAAAATATTTATTGAATAAATACTTCTAAATAAGCACTGATATAAGGGCATTTTTACTGTATAAACTTGACCAAAAATCTTTTTGAAATAAATTAAAAAGAACTGTTCTAATAAATTATACTGAAAATTTTATTAAAATAAATTTAAAAAATATAAAAACTATAAACTATTTACATGATCTCTTCCAAACATCCTTAAATACATATATGCACGGATATATATACATGACATATACGCATACTACACGTGTGTGTGTGTTAATGGAGCTCACATTGAAGGGAAATAAAGGTGAGTGAGGTGAGGCATGAAAGATGGTAGCTTCAATTGTTCCATGGAGGAGCTTAGGCGTTTCCTCCATTGCTTTTAAGCTTCAAATATTGACCAGGAAGAGAATTTGGAATGCAGAGATAGAAACTATGTAGTTTGGTTTAACATATGAAGGATTTTGTGCCAATTTACCATGCCATTTATTATATTACATTTATATAGGTGAGTAATTTTATTGTTGCAGAAGAAGAAGCAAAGGGAACCTTGGAATACAATTGAAAGTCAGCATAAAGGGAAAACTTGTATAACTTTTGCCTTATGTAGACACAATCCAATCTTCAAGTATTTGCCATCACAAGTTTTAGCTTCAAGCTAAGTTTCTTAAATCCAAATCACAGTTTACCGTAATCAGTACAGCTCTCGTATATTGTTAGCACACTAATTACATCATATACTGATTAATTAACAAATATATGATTTTTTAGCAGGATAATTATTTTGTGATTAGTCCAAATTTGTTGAATAAAAGTTTCATGTCAAATGTATGTTAATTTGGCTAGAACGAAGAATTAGGTGAGTGCCTTGCGGGAAAGGAAAATTCCAGCAAGAAAAATCATGGTCTCCATATACCACAGGAATCCGTATGATAATATCATATAATCATATCAGAAAAGACAAAAATAATAATAAAATCGTATTTTTAAAGAAGGTATTATTAGATTAATATAAAAGATAGAAAAGTAAAAATAATAGTACAATAATAATATTATTAAAATATAAAAAGTATTATAAAAAGGAAGATGGTATAAAATTAAATTATTATATTCTTGTAAAATAACATCTTCCACTATAATGCAATAATCAATTTTAATATTTACATAGATTAATATTTTGAATGTTTTATTGTAATTATTGATATGAAAATTTTTATCATAACTAATTAATATTTTATATGTATAATAATAATGTTATTATTTTTTCTTTTAATTATAAGTAATTGTGTAATACTCCAAAGAGAATATCATATTTACACGCCATTGATACAGAAGCAAAGAGTTTCAGCAAATTAAATTGATCTGATCAGTTCAACATTAGATTCCGAAAATCCTTAGCCCAGAATTAACTAGAATCTCTGCAACCGTATACACGTGGAAGTGAAGTTATTTTATGAACCCTGTTAATTGGCTTTGTCCCATGGTTACGTCTTGTTACCATCAAGAAACTGAGCTATTTTTGTGAACCCTATCTGCTTTGGGTCATAGGAGGGAGAAAACCAAAAGGAAGAAAAATAAGCTAAAAAATTAGTTAATAACGTAGAATTATTTTAACTTTTATGAATTTTATTTTAGCCATATCTTATAATTAATCTTAGTACCAAAATTTTTTGTAATATTATATTGAAAAGGTTGAGGGACTAAGTTAATCACATTGAAAAATTTTGTAAGACAAGAATTTTTTTGTCTGTCAAGAATGATTCAATATCAGATTTATTATAAACTCTTGTACTATATGGAAAAGAGAAGATGTTGAGTAATTATTATTTACAAGTGTCAATACGTATTTTTAAAATACTAATTTAAGAATTAACAATAACGTTTTTTTATAGAAAATCATACTTGAATGACATTAGATATCATAATAAAGTGTATTGGTAACATTTGTTTATATATTTTTTTTAATTTTAAAAATAATATCTTAAAGGTATTTGTTGGTATTTTCTTCTCTTTAATTGACAAAATCAAAAGAAAAATGTTTGACAACTTTCTCTGAGATTCCAACATGGAGAAGGGGGGTCTAGCTGGGCTGGACCTTTCTTAAGTGGTTACTACCTTGTCGTGGCATTATGATTTGGTATCCCTACATGCCATGGTGTAGTGTGGCCTGAATTATCCACTGTATACTCCAACTTAATATTATCCTTTTAGTTGCAAGTGTCAAAGTGTGGGATCCTTCCACTCATATAATATATTAGAGATGAGTTTTTGTATCCCACCACCCAATGACTTCACCACTTTTAGTCTCTGTCATATGCAATACAACAAATACAAGACAACAACTTGGTTTGAAAATAAACATGGACTTGAACAACAATTTGATCTTGTTTCTCCATCACCTCTGCTTAGATGAATTTTAAATATCTCTTCTTTTTTCACCTGTTTCTTCAATTGTAAAACGATAGTTTAACTCAGTTTTAATATGCAATTATTTGTATTAACACAATTATAATAGCATAGATAAAAAAAGAAAAAGAAAAGTATGCATATAAAGATTAAAACAATTTTTTTTATAAAAATTAATTTATAAACGAATTTTAATTATATACTTTAACCATGTTGAGGGTGGAACCATGTATATGTGTAACAATGAGGCCAAGGCCAGTGGCGAGTGGACCTTTAATTCTTCATAATTGTTAATTGTTACTGTAACATCATTTGCTCTGTTGAATAGGGATCTTTGAGCAGTCAGAATCTGTCATTTTCGATTCCCTTTCAACATCTTTTCTGCTCCACAATGAGCTTAAAGTTCAATGAATTAGAGAATGCTAAGAATAGGGTGTGAAGATAATATTAGCTGCTTAATTCTTCGTTCCAAATCTCTAATGCCACACGCCAAAGGAGATGACGAGATAAACACTGAAATCCTCTATTATTCGACTATTAGATGAAAACAAGCATATAGAAAATGTATAATCTTTTCTAGCATGTCGACCATTAACAGTGTTCAGAAGGGTCGAGCTAAATCCTACTTCTATGATATATAAATTTTACATGCAAATTAAATTACAAGTCTATCACCTAATAGTGTTTAGGCAATTAGAGATTTTACTTAACCATCGATCTTAATAGAACCAAATATGAGTCTATTAATTTGCTCGATCCAAATTCTAAAATAGTTTCAACATTACAACCAAGGGAGAAAGCAACACCAACCTCCTTCCAAATTCGACAAGAAAAACTTGCTACGAATGTCCTCACGCGTTTGGAAACTACACAAATCAAAACCCATCAACGACCCTTTTTCGCAATCATAATCCAGGAGTGAAAATCAAACTCAAATTAACATCAACCCCAACATGCATGATATACCCAATCATACAACATCAAGATGATAATAATACACACATAAAAGTAAAAAAAAACATAAACAAAGTCACAAAACACATCACACCGTAGGACCCAACATCGCCTATAATTATTAAACCCCATTTCATTATTTCATAGTGAAGTGTCACTCAAATCACATGCATAACGCATTCCCATTCTCAAAACCAAACCTCGTGAAACTGCGAAGAACTAAGAACTTTGAAACATGACAACAACCTACGGCACAATTCCAACCTCGCCACCGCCGAACCTCGAGTACATCTCACGCGCCAAGCAAAGAATCAAAGCTGGCTTGGGAACTCGCCGGCCATGGAAAACCTTGTTCAATCTCCGGTCACTGAAGATTCCCGCCAGCGGAATACCGGAAGCGGTTTCGCGGGTGCGGGTGAACGTGTCGTATTTTCGAATGAACTACGCTATGGTGGTGTTGTTGATCCTGTTTCTGAGCCTTTTGTGGCACCCAATATCGCTGATCGTGTTTCTTCTTCTAATGGCCGCGTGGCTATTTCTCTACTTTCTCAGGGATGAGCCACTGGTGCTACTTGGACGCTTCGTCGACGATAGGTTGGTGCTGATGGTGATGGCGGTGCTTACGGTGGCGGTGCTGCTGCTGACGGACGCGACGGTGAATATTGTGGTGGCGGTGGTGGTCGGGGTGGCGGTGGTGGTGGCGCACGCGGCGTTGAGGAGAACGGAGGATTTGTTTTTGGGTGAAGAAGAAGAAACTGTTGTTGGTGCTGCTTGAATTTTCATCGTTATTCTTTTTCTCCATCGTTTTTTTTTTCTTTGGAAAAAAATGCTTAGATTTGGTTGGGTTTTAAATTTTATGGTTTATTATTATATTTTTTTGGGAGATGTGGGATTTGGGAGAATGTTGGTGGTGTGAGACTGCGATGGATGATGTAGTTTGTGTTGTGAGTTGTCACATCAGATTCTTTTAACCATTTCCTTTTTTTTAGTATTATTTACAAATATATATTAACATTAATCTTTAAAAATGATTTTAGATGATTAAAAAAAAATCTTATAAATTTCATAGAGACACAAAAATATAATAAATGTTTTAGTGAAAATTATTGTTTTAAATACTTCAAACCAATAACCAAAAATTCAGCAAAATTGTTATTTTATAGCACTATAATAGCTAAAGAGAGATATAAATAAATAAAAAATAAAAAGTTAAGCATAAATTGTATAAATAACATTGTTTTTTATTTTATTTTTAACTTTGACGTCTAAATTCGTTTTTTGGTTTTGATTTAGAAGGGGAAATTGAAATATAAAAGAAAAACAATATTTATATATGCTGATTAGTTGCTCAAAACAATATGTTATTAGAGAGTTTTACATACTACAGTTTACAAATTAACTGAGGAAAATAAAGAAGAATGACAACGTTGATGATTTCGTTTTGTATTCCCTATTTGGAAAATGATAACATTAGAACACTTTTTCATTTTCTCAACAATGCTATCAATTTAAGAGTATGTTATATTTTTATTTTAAAGACAATTTTTAATTTTTAAAAATATAATATAATATAAATTTATATTACATTTTATTTTTAAAAACTAAAAATTATTTTTAAAATAGAAATTAAAGATCTTTTAAATTTACTATATTTTAAGGATCAAAATAATAATTTATTCATATAAAAATAAATTTTTCTTCTCGTGGGAAGAAAACAAACAGGTGGTATGAGCACCGATGATATTTCTCTATTTTTCATAGACTAAACTAGCATTTTAATCCCTGAGAGAGTTTGGGTCTAGCATTTTAGTCTCTAAGACATTTAAAATATCACATTAGTCCACAATTTTCTTCTTCGTTATGCATTTTAGTCCCTAACGTTAGACCCCATTAAGAGACTGTCACAAAAGGCTAAGTTGTCACGTTAAGTGCTACATCAACATCCTAGTTGGCAGCAACGACATCGTTTTGGAAGCTGGCGTGCACAGATAAATGCGAAACAATGTCGTTGTAATTGAAACCCTTTTTTGTCCAAATTGAATCAAACATTTTTTTATTATTGTCGAAGAACTCTACCTTAATTTCAGGCTCTCTCTCGCCCAAATTCTTATTCTTGGTTGTGTTTAGGGGTGAAAAATTTAAAGATTGAAGTTTGTTGTTGTTGAAGAAGGGTCAACACATGGAGAATTCGGTAACAAGAAATTTTCTTAATTCATTGAGTCAATTTTTTGGTTTAGGGACGAAGAACCTGTTCAATATTTCGGAGACGACGAACCATAAGTGCTCATTGTTTTTGGGACGACGAAGCCTATTTGTTTTCTTTCTCCTTAATCAGTGTCAATGTGGTTATTGAAAAATATTTTTTATTTTTTATCGAGAGATGGTAGAAAGTGGTCCTTGGTAGGCAGTGGTCCCTTATGTTGTTTCCTACAACTTTTTAGTTTTTAAAATTAAAGAAGATAATGTTAATGAAAGTGGTCCCTTTCTGCATGGTTTAACCCATTTTCTTATGTACGTGCATGAAAGTCATTGTTTATTCAGTAAATTAGTTTAAATTTGCAAAAGATTGCTGACTTTATTGATAATTGTTTCTCTATAAATGCAATCAATTAAGTTTTACATTCACCATAGGGGAAAATTTTTGGAAGAAAATAGAATTAAGAAGGAGTATAGGTGAGATAAAATTGAGGTTTGGGCTGATGTTGATGAAGATATGGTTGATATCTTTAACTTCATAAACTTTGCCAAGGCAATGGGGTATTTTAGTAACATAAAAAAAATATATTCTGGTCTAACCTTGATAAAGAGTTTGATGAAGATTTGAAATTATTAAAATATGATGCTGATGTGTTGAAAATGGTGGCTGTTGTTAAGAGGAATAGAAGGGAGATGCATGTCTATTATGAGCATGAGATAGGTAGACCACAATTGCTTGAAGACAGTGAAATTCTAATGTTGGAATGCCCTGGAGGTGATATTGCAGCAATGAAAGAAGAAATTCAAGTTGAAGAAGCAATAATATAAGAAGAAATTCAAGTTGAACAACCAACAATGGAAGAAGGTTTGAAAGTTGAACAACAAGCAACAGGAGAAGTACAAGTTGCACAACCAGCAATGGAAGAAGTACAAGTTGAAGATGTAATAGTTGAAGAATTAGAAGTTGAAGTTGAAGTTGAAGTTGAAGTTGATAAGAAACAACAAAAGAAAAAGGCAAAAGGAAAGCAAATTGGAAAGGGAAAAGAAAAAGGTATCTCTAGTAAATCAGAGAAGAAGTTTGCAAATTGGAGCCATGAAAGAAAACGTTCAATCTGCTACATCAGAGAAAAAATAGAAGAAAAAAAAGCATGGGAAAAGAAAAAGGAAAAGGGAAAGTGGCAAAAAAAAATTGAAAAAAAAGGTAAAGAAAAAATGACCTATATTGATGACGAAGATTATTTACATGAGGAACTTTCTGAAAATACCATAGAAGATGTAGAAGAGGTGGGTCATAGGGAAACTCTAGAAAGAGAAGAGCATTCTGAAAATTCATGGAGGTTTAAAGAATTAAGAACTCCAGCAAACTCATCAGAGGATAGTAACAAACAAGTTTTTTCCAAATTTAATGAATCTGCAAAAATTGGAAATGTTTACTTGGAGCTGGGAATGGAGTTTGAAAGTTTACAATCTTTCAAAAAAGGTGTTAAGAATTAGGACTGCAGAATGAGTTGTTCTGATTATGTTACTTGTTTTTATTATTTTTTATGTAACAAGTTTATATTATGTAAGACTTCTGTCATTTGGACATGCTTTATTTGGAATAGTTATTTTGATTGAACAAATTGTCGTTTCAATTATTTATTTCCACTGAAGTGTTATTTTATATTTATGAATGTTTGTTATTTGTGGTTTAGTCGTCTTTACTTCATTCATGACCCAAATTAACATTTAGAACTCCAGCTTATATAACACTAAAGGTTTGATTGCATTAGAATTGGTAGGGATTGAATTGTATGAATAATACATCAGTTAGGGACTAAATTGCATGGTTTTTATTCTATTAAGAACTAAAATGAACTTCATAGTTTACTGCAATGTTTGATTCCAACTTTGCAATAATTGATGTCAGGTGCACACCATAGGTTTTGTGTGTGACATTTATGGTTTTGTAAGCAATGGAAGGATAAAGTCTTCAAGCACCTTGTATGGGAATGTGCAATCTCCAGTTCTATGTTTCATTTTTCTTTGGCGAGAACTTTTCAAAATCTATGTGTGTTAATATGCCATCTATTAAATGATAAAAACGTTCAATGAAAAAAATAATATTTTTTTTTCAGTACTCTCCTCTTTCCTTTCAAATCACACATATTTGATCCACTTATAATGCATTCTAAATTGCAAATTCATATAGCCTTCAAGTTACTGCTAGTTGTCCATAGTTATTAATTATCAGTACCTGATAGAACAAACTAAAAAATTGCTCTGTTTCATTCTTCTTTTCATAAATTTTTTCACTAAAATATAAACGAAATGAGGGTCAACAATGATTACAAAAGCATTCTTTATTAATATTAAAACAAAATTTTATCCAATTCTTACAACAAAGTACATGACAATACACATCAAAATACAGATAATTTCTACAAACAACTTTAATTTCTTAATTTCAGCCTCTAAATATGTTATTTTGACAGCCAAATTCTTCATCCATTCTTCATTCATAGCTGCTACACTTGTAAGAGGAGACGTTACTTGACAGGTTGCATAATTAGCAACATTATAACTATCTTCCACACTATTTTTGTTATCATCTTATGCAAAATAATTGCAATGTTCACTAACCTACATCATATGTAAGAAGTAATTTAATTTAAGAAATGGCAATTGAACACAACAATAAATTAACTTTGTTTACCATATATTTGGGACATCCAAAGAACAATCTTTCAGGATTAGCTTCTATTTGTGAAATTCTAACAGCTACTTTCAACTCACAATGACAAATTTTGTCATTTCATTTCTTATTTTGTTCTGATGATGACCTTGAAGCAGAACTCATCAGAGGGCTTCTATTGCTATTACTAGCCATATAAAGTATTGGAAACCAAAATCGTGCAAAGAAGGAACGAACCTAATAATAGAAACAAGAAACCCCAACAATAGAGGAACGGAAGAAACCCAACAAAATCAAGTAACCCAATTGCAACCATGAACCCTAACCCTAATGGTGGAAGAAGACCAACGGCGCAACATATATTCTGATATGTTTGATTCAATTTGGACAAAAGGGGTTTTAATGACAACGACACCGTTTCGCATTTATCTGTACCACGCCAGCTTCCAAAATGACGTCGTTGCTGGGATGCTGATGTAGCACTTAACGTGACAGCTCAGCCTTCTGTGACAGTGGTCTAACGTTAGGGACTAAAATGAATAACGGAGAAGAAAGTTGTGGACTAATGTGATATTTTAAATGTCTCATGAACTAAAATACTGGATTCAAACTCTCTCAGGGACTAAAATACTAGTTTAGTCATTCTCCATATGTAACTTACCAAATAAGGAGATTAAGAGATATTTTTTATTTTTATAAAAAAAATTATCTTATATTTTTATATTTAATTTCACATTAGCTAAATAAAGTACTTGTTTGTTTTTAAATTTGATAAAATTAAATTTAAATTATAAAATATAATTAAGATGTGAACTAAAAGTACTATCTAACTATAGATTTTTATTTTTATTTTTATAAAAATTTATACATGGTTAAAATTCTGATTCTAGGTAGTAAAACAAGATGGAGGCAAATCGGTCGAGCCGGATAAATAAATGACAATTTTTTATTCAATATTTAATATAACTATATTTATTAAGATTTAAACTCAATTGTTGATTAAGTTAAAATATTTACTATTCAACAAAGTATATGTTTAATATTTATTTTACTTTTAACAAAAAATATAAAAATTGAAATAAAAAATAAAAATTATATGTTATTTAAAATTTTAAATATTTATCAATTTAATTCTTACATTTATAAAAAAAATCAATTCCATAAATTATAAAAAGTCAATATTTTAGTCCATAAAATGAATCGGGTAACGTTAAGCATGCATTCATTTAACCCACGAACTGATGTCGTTTACTTGGGAACGATAAAAGCGAAGTAAATAAACGACACTGATACGAAGAATTTCGATTTCGTTTCGTTTGTGCAAAACAAAAGCTAAACCCGTCATCGACTCGGCAGATTAAAGTGAAGAGCTTCGTCTTCGGCCACCGCCATCTCCGCCGTACACGACGGTGTTCACCCTCTGAATGGCTCAGCAGCCGTTCGATCCGTACTACCTTTATCAACAAGATGAGCGCAACAACATCAACACGCTCTTCGTCTCCGGCCTCCCGGACGACATCAAGGCGCGTGAAATTCACAACCTCTTCCGCCGCCGCCCCGGCTTCGACTCGTGCCAACTCAAGTACACCGGACGCGCTAACCAGGCACGTACTCGTTTTCCCTTTCCTTCTCCAAAAATGTTAAAGTTCCTATCTACTTATGCAGTTTCAATGGACATCGAAACTCGCGAATTTTGTATATATTGAATAAAAATTCGATTTCCTTTTCAGGTCGTAGCATTTGCTACATTTTTCAATCACCAATCAGCAATGGCAGCGTTGCACGCCTTGAATGTGAGTGTGTCTTGGTTCGAGTAGTAGAATTCACGATGCGTGTTTGAGTTAGGGATTTAGTTTCAGACACCTTAGTTTTATGATAATATAGTTTTTTGTTTAAATTTCTGTCCCTTACAATGAAAATTATGGTGTTATATTCCCCTGTTAGGGCTAAATTTGTCAATTGCAGTGGGTTCACACACAGTCAAAAGGAATTTATAAGAGTTAGTGGAGTTTTTTTTTATAGAGAATGAAGTGAATTGGGTTATGTCTTACATAGAATATGCTTGCCCTATAAATTGGTCTTCTATCTAAGTTTTATTTTCCTCATCAGGGTGTGAAATTTGATCCTCAAACGGGATCTGTTTTACATATTGAACTTGCCAGGTCAAACTCTAGGAGGAAGCGTAAACCAGGTATGTATGTATATATGTATTATATATTTATGTATAATTGTATATTATGCATGCTTTGACTAGAGATGAATATGATTGCAAAGGGAGGAATGGAAAATATGAAACTATCAGTTATCAAGCTATAACGCATATATAGATATCTTCTCATTTTCGCTTTTATTACATCAATTTTTTTATCCAAACAACTTTTCTTCTGTTTCCCCCAATTTATGAATTGTGTTTTGCTTTTATGGTTTTACTGCTTTTTCAGGATTATTACTGGACTTCTATTTTGCACAGGTGGTGGAGCCTATGTGGTTATTGATAAAAGGTCGAAAGGGGAGACTGATGTTCAGGGATCATCCAGTGATGATGGTAATATTACGTTAGTTATAAGGTCAAGGCAAAGTGTATGTGTGCGTGTAATTTTTCAACCTGAAATGACTATGATCTAGCTTGCTACTATTTTATTGAATGAATCTTTTGTAATACACACATGCATAGCTGTATGTTCTTTTCTTTCAATTTAAATTGGGTGAGGGAGAATAAAGAGGGAAAAAGGGAGAGGAGTACATCAGGTAAATTAGATTTCATATTCTTTCTCTTCTTGTTCATGTCTCACCTGAACATCTTTCACTTTTAGGTGACAGTGATCCCGATGAACCATTGGAAAGTGGCAGCAACCATGGTGATTTAGCAATCACAAAAAGGTTGGAAGTACAATAAATTTCAATAACTATTTGCAAATTGTCTGCACAAACAAAAAAGATGAATGATAAAATTTATACAAGTACTTTGAATATTCTAGTGGTTCACTAAGTCTGCAATATTATCTGCTTGTTTGCAGTGGTGAAACTGCTGTTATTTCTGAGAATGCTGTTCCTGTGGTAAGTTCAAGTAAAAACCAGAAATATGTTGGAACTCTCCAGCTTAGTACATTTGTAGAAACCTTCCAATATTTTCCTCTGCTTTAAATGCATCACATAGGATTCATTTCATTTCCTTCTGTGTTTCACCCAGAGCATATAGATATGAAACACGAAAAAATGAGTAGTTTGTAAAAATTATTACTTCCTTTTTCCGTTAAGAACTTGTGTACTACCATCCTTTTTGGCTGCAGGAGCAACATGAAAAGGGTGGTGATGGAGGACCTTGTTCCACTCTCTTTATCGCAAATCTTGGTCCAAACTGCACAGAAGATGAATTGAAACAAGCTTTTTCTGTGTGAGTTCCTGCCTCTATCTTGTTAATTAATCTGCTAAGGGCCTCTGGTACTATTATTCAGATTGGAGCAGTTCAGTGCTTAACATACTGGTTGCTGTTATATCTAGATCCTTCAATGTTCTTCATCTACTTAGTTTTGATCATATAACTTCGTGTCTTCAATCCATTTTTCCAGATATACTGGATTCAATATGGTCAAAATGCGTTCTAGAGGAGGAATGCCTGTTGCATTTGCTGATTTTGAGGTAAGTCACGGTTCTAGCAGGAATAAGTGTCATTAGTAGATTAGTAGGCATTTGTAATATTCATGCATTGTGTGTGGATGCCCAAGGGAGAGAAAAAGGAGGGGGGCGGGGGGGTAATTGTTTTGGTTCCATAACTTCTATTGCTGTCACCAAATTCTTTTCTTTGGAATGATGTGCTGGGTTCTTTGTATTGAAGTTATACATTTTATGTACAGCATAATGTGATCACTGATCATTGTCTGTGTCATGTTATCATTTTTGGAGCAGTTTTCTGGAAAACCTTATTTGATGTGTTCAGTTTGAGGTAAGAAAAACCAGCAACAAACTCTAGCTGTACATCCTCATCCTCAGCTGACCATACATGTCTAGTAGAAGTGTAGAACTAAATTTGATCCCGCACTGGGGGGGGGGGGGGGGGTTGTGTGGATTTCAATTGGTGCGCAAATGCTGTTATTGTAGCATGATTCTTGAACGGTTGACTCTTACTAAAAATGAGAAGATCCTGGCATAGGCATACTTGAATGGGACAAGGTTGTTTGATTTTTTTGGGTCAATTTCTTTTCTGTTGTTTTGCTGATTGGTATTTATATATCAAACGTTCTCTGTTGACTGCAATTACCTTCCCTCCCATACACCCCTGTCCTCTTCAATGCTTTGCTACCAAAATATGGTTAAGCATATCATATACATATCATATATATCAAACAAACATGCCCTGAATTTTTGCTCATTTTTTATCATCTTATCAACCTTCTTTTGATAGGAAGTTGATCAAGCTGCTAAGGTCATGGAGGAGCTTCAGGGCAGCCTGCTGCATTCATCAGACCGGGGTGGCATGCACATAGAGTATCTTTTAAACCTAATGAGTTCTATTAAATCTTTGTCTGGTATGATTGAATATTTCATCCTTCTAACTCTTTTCTCTTCTTGCCTGTGCTGTCTAGATATGCAAGGTCCAAAATGAGGAGGCATTAGAAGAAACAGGTTTCCGGACAATTTGGTTGTTTGATATATATAGAATAGTTGCAACACATAGGGAAAGGTTGAGAAGGTGGTCCAAATTGAAAAATGATTACAGCAGACATTTATTTGTTATGTCTAGAACCTTGTACTATGTTGGAATTAAGGGAATTAGTTCTTGCCATTTGGCATAGATGATTCCAAAACTTGGGCCGCTATCGTTTGTAAAATCTCTTGATATACTATATGCAAATGCTGACTACATCAATAGTAAGAGTTTTTTAAGGGAAAATTACACTCTAGTACCTTCGAATTATATTGTCTTCTCTTAAAAATCTACTTTTTTTGGTCTGATTAATGTGTTACACTATAATTCATTTTAATGTTGAGTAATTTTTCATTCTGAACCCCTATCATCAGTGATAGTTAATTTTATATTCTTATTATCAATTTTAAATTTTCAGAAAGTGAAAATTAATTTTGGATAAGGTTTCATGGTCAATAATAATGGTTTTTAAAACATATCTTTTAACACAAAAAAAAAAAAAAATCAATAATTTTTTGGGTAAAGTATCGTGGTCAATCATTATTGTTGGACCATTGTAACGGAGGCTTTTTAGAGTAGACAATAGAAAATATGGAATAATACGGATTTTCGATCCTTTACTTAAAAGGATTCGCTTACAGAGGCCCAACGTTAATGCTGTGAATTGATCAACCGTTTATTGAATTGGTAGTGACTCAGTTATCAATTCGCTATACAATTGAGCAAAGTAACGATTAGCCTCTTTTTTTTTCTAACAACCTACCAAAAATTAATTATCAGAGACGTCCAAAATTTAGGCACTATGCTTAACAAGGCACCTGAGAATTTTTAGGTGACATTGTCATGTGAAAATTTTATTCTATATAATGCAAGTCTAGTCTAGAATTCCTTTCGTTGATAACATCTTGGATCAGCTCCTTACACCAGAATTAAATAAATAATAGAAACTCAGGAATAAACAAAACTGATTATCCCTTGAGTATCAATATCCAAATTGTTAACTTATCAGAGGAGATCAATTTTGCCACTCTCAACAAGTGCCTTTATTGATTTGTAACATATGAAGTGGAGGACGCCCGGTTCCATCTCAAACAGCTTCGACCTGCCACAATAATCAATTGAACTATTATTTTTTTTACCCTTTTCAAAATAGAGAAGAATAGTTTCATGCAAGAATAAAAGAATTACCTGTCATCAACAGGCCCATCTTCAAGTTGAATGCCTGTGAGATACTCTCTACTTCTACATAAAACAAATGTGTCTAGGTGTGGTTCTGCGACTGAAACATACAAACAAAATAATTGTCACCGTGGATGGTTCGGTTATGTCTGGAGACATCCTAGTCTCAACTCTCAAGGAAATAAAATGAAAGCCAAAGTATGATTTAAAGTAAACCGGATCCCAAACCTAGCAATGAAAGACTTCAGTTAGCAAAAGAGAAACATTAGTAGGGAAAATGAGGGAGAAACCTCTCTAACATGGTTCTTTGTGGAAATGAACCCACCATAACTCAACCACCATCAGTAAAATATGTGAAAATCATTACCTAAAATAATATCTAGAATTAGAAAAGCTACAAGCACAAACAAAATTTATTGGAAAAGTACAACAGAACTGATCCTCAGACTGACTTTGATGCCTTTCAATTCAAGAAATTTAAGTTATTTCATGCTAATAACCAAAATGCCAACAAGGTGAGAAAACAGAGCAAAGCAATTTTGATTACCCAGACAGACACAAAATGGTCCAAAAGAAATAAAATAACCTAAACTGTCCTTTAAGGATGGTAAATTACCCATGTCATCTTCTTCACTAATTACAGATTGCTTCAGAACAGACTGATAATTTTCAGGCAATTTTGATAGAACACTTTCCTCCAAATGTTGTTTTAGGTCATCTGTACACCTGCAGCCTTAAACTAGATTAAAAACCACAACAAGTATGATTTAATGCAATCAGTTAAAACACACTGCTAGTCAGAATTGTATAGGACAGCCTTACCTTCTAGTGAAACTTTTCTCATCTTTAGATAGCCTGTTCCAAAGTTCTTCAGTTTTTAGGATGTGGAACATGTACTTTTCAATCTACAATGAAAACGTGGTTATAAAAAATAGAGCAATTAAGGTGCGTTTGGAAAAGCTTATAGAGAGGTTATGAAAATAGCTTATGACTTTCATAAACTCTTTTCAACCTATTTCAACAAGATTTTTTTTATATGACTTACTAAAATAAAATTTTCTAAGCTTATTTCAATAAATTTCCTAGTCAAATTTATTGTATAAACCCCTTATGCAATAATAGCTCATTGAATTAGTTAGTCAAGTCAATTCACATCTCACCTAGTCTTAAAATAGTTCCAAAATATGTATTTATAACTTTATTCCGTTAGATATCTGGCAAAGAGAGTGTATATAGAAAATTTTACATCTAGTCAAAGATTAATGCAGCCATTACTAATACAAACAGTAAAACGCGAGGTCAAGGCTAGAATAAATTGGATACGTTTATTTTCGCTTTAAATTGGTACCCTATGAGTGTTGAAGTAATTTAGAAATAACAATAATGGAATTTCTTTGAGTGTAGACGCAACAGATGATGATTGGTTACCTTCTGAATGCGGATCCGAAGATAAGATCTTAACAGAAAGAGGGTTCTGTCCAAGTCCATCTGATACAGAGACAACGAAAGAGGATCAGTGCCGTCAGTGGATTTCTCCTCCACAGTGTCTTCCTGCACAAAAGAATTCAAAATTAAAAAGCGTTATTGCCAATTGATTGAATTGCAACGAATGAATGAATCAAAGCGAGGTGTTGTTGGTTAGGGTTTAGAGTTACCATGAGTTGAATCTGTTCTCTTACGCGGGAGATCAAATTCGATTGGAATTGAAGGATTTCCGGTGCTGCTTTTTCGTTACGCCAAGCTTGCTTCAGAAGCTCAACGTCCGTCGTTGAATTCAGAAGATCCTCCACTGATGCTTCTTCCACTTCCATTTCCACACCGGAGGAGCTCGAAGCCATTGCAATGTTGCAATTCACAACCAAACAGTGTTGTGTGTAGGGTTAGGGTTTTGCTTTCTCCTTCCTATTCACTCACTGCAACAATGAATTGGCGCCAAATTTGAGAAGCGAAATAACTTAGAGAGAGAGAGAGAGAGAGAGAGAGAGAGAGAGCACTGCACATCGATCATCCACCGTTAACAAATATAAGTTAATTAATGGTTGAGATGAGAGACCTAAAACGATCCAAAACAGTGTGTAAACAATTCCAATTTTTTTAATAATAGTAAGATTAAATAGTTAATAATAATAATTTTATTTAAAAATATTTTTATATTTTAAATATAGTATTTAAATTTTTTTAGATAAAAATTAATATATTTTAATTATTAACTTAGTTTTAATTTCTGAAATTAATAAAATAAAAAAATAATAGCATAATGAACTCGCTCATTTTATTTGAGAGTTTTAAAAAAATAATAATAAAGAAAAATAAAAAATATATTTAAAAATTTTCCTAATTAAATTTTTTTTTTATGTTTAAAAATTCAAATAAAAACTATCATCAAATAATTTTTTCTCTTAAAATTATTAAGTGTTTAAATTACAAAATATCAACGCATCAAGATTAAAAATAAATGAACAAATAAATTGCATAATAGGCGTTGAAAATCAATTGAGTCTATTATTATTTTAAAATATCTTTTGTTATTTAAAAAATAAATAAATTTTATATAACATTTTTATTGGTTGATTAAGCTAATAATAATAATATTTACATAAAAGATCATAAACAGGGAGCGACAATAAACACTTTCTTAAAAGCTTAATTTACATGTTAAGAATAAACTTAATTTAACTAATATAAGATGAGAAGGATTAAAAACATAATTTTTTAACAATTTTATTACATATTTTTATTATGAGTTAAAATTATTAAAATTATAAAAATATTAATAAAAATCATTAAATTAAGAGTGAGAGTCAAATAATAATAATAATAAATGCATTAAAAAAATATGTTTTCATCTCTCGGATAGATGCTCTCACTCTCATTCAAAATTTTTGAGTGATTTGACTGAACAATTATTTTGAAGTGCTTCAACCCCTTGAATATTATTATCCTTTCATTATCAAATTAGATTATGCTAAATAATTGTGGCATATACTTTGAAGGGCTATAATGTTTTTGACATCCTGTAAATGCATCTTAATCTTATGGGCTACTTTTAATCTCAAGTCTAATTATATAGGTATCCATATTTCCTTTACCAATTTCACTAACATTATGAACCATGCAAAGATACAAAACTGAAAATAGTATATTTTGTGACTACTCATTGAATATAAGATCTAATTGTCATGTCTATGTTTGCCCCTAATATAACAAGTTTGCCTTAAAGAAATTGAAACCAACACAACACATTGCTGAAAGAATCAAAGCTGTCGATTCTGCAATGAGGTTGATAATTAAGTATGATATATGGACAAGAATCAGACAAAGTTACCCTCGGGATAAGGTGTGGAGTCTCTTTTGTTGATAAGTTGCCAAAACATAACCAAGAAACAAGACACTTGACATGTCTCTTGATCGTATTATGTCTGAACCTCACACAGCCTTGTCACCATCAGCCAACCAATAAATTTTGTTTTATATGTTACAAAAGTCAAGAATTCAAGAAAAATTACATTGTCATAATCAACCAACCAAGTAGCATGCTTCACAAGATAAAAATACTAAAACGGAAAAAAAGTTACGACTCCCATTTTACCCTTCATTAAGGCTTGAAGTTAACTGATTTGGTGCAATCATTGTACTGTTTACCAGTTCACATGACAACCTCAACCCATGTTTGTTTGCTTTTTCAATGCATGCATGTCATGCACATACAACCTTGGAACAAGAGAGAGTTGAACCATTCACCACCTTACAAGAAGCTATTTCATCCATTTGAAGACCATAGACAGCACTCAAGTCTGTCAAAGGTCAATTAGGCACTAGTTTACATGATTTCCTGAAAATTTTTCAAAAGCTTCTATATTTACCTATCCTACTTTCACTCTGCTATACAATGCAAAATTAGATCCCATTGCAGAAAAAAAAAAGGAATGAAAAAACAACAAAGAAAATAGGCGAGCAACAAACATATTTAGCATAACAAGAATTGCAATTTTCATCATCAACCACTTCAAACGTCATCTTCACATGAAGCCCTCTTAGGCTTGTCCCTATCCCAATAGGAAGGCTTGTGCTTTTCAAGGGATAGCTTCCCACTGAATGACTCCAGAGACTCTTCTAACAAGGGACCACTATAGTGGTGTTGCCTTTGCAATGGCTCTGACCAGATTCGACCACTTCGGTTTCCCACATCATAACCTGGAGTTGAAATGTAATTTGTGTCCATCACCATGTCACCCTCCAGTATTCGGAGAACCTTCAACAAACAACCACAAGTATGCCAAAACTGTTAGATGAGGAAACCAAAACTGGTGCAATGAGCAACAGTTTAGAACACTGCCACATGTCCAAACATCTAAGCCATTGAACTTAGCATTTAATTGAATTGCAACAAATTATTTAAACATCACATATTACATAATCAAGTTCTAAGAAATATGCAATTGTGAATTCTTCAGAGCAAGTGAAGCTTGCCCAAAGAAAAAAGAACAAAAAAGATGGGCTTTAAAAACTTTATTTACCTGTGACATGCGTGGTCTAGAATGAGGATCTCGCCGTATGCATAATGATGCAGCATGCAGCATGCAATAGACCTCCTGTTCTAAATAGTGGTTACCAAGCCTCGGATCAATCAATTCCTCGATGGCATATTCTTCCAACAGTGGTCGTGCCTGTTTAATATCCAAATGTTTACATAATTATTAGTCAAGGAAAAACAAAAGAAATTCAAGCTCTTAATTATGCCAATTGGTGTTTCATATTTCTCATGAATGTTACTTTTGACTCTTGAGATGGTGCCAACATCCAACAAATATATATCATAATAAGTTAGATACTAGTTAGAATTTTACCCATTCAGTAAGGCACTGTTGTCCCTTAGGCCGGGTGAGATCCACAGCTTTCCTCCCTGTAACAAGCTCCACCAATACCACCCCAAAGGAATAAACATCAGCTTTTTCAGTGATTTGGCCACTTTGAGCATATTCAGGAGCCAAATACCTACACAGAAACAGCATAGCTTAGTTGCAATCTCATTGCATGTGCCGGTTTAACAATGAAACTAATTCAAGATCTACACGTTCGACCTACCCAAATGTTCCAATTACTCTGGTTTCCACACCCGTGTCTCCATCAGGTTGCCACCTTGCCAGTCCAAAATCACCAACCTTGCATAATTTAACATAATACAATATTCTTAGAAAAGGAAGCACACATTTGATGCACCTGAAAACAGGTTATTATCCATAGGAAACTGAAAAATCCATGACCATTAATAGGTAATTAAGTACACTTTTAAAATGTTAAGGAGTCCGCAATTATTTCAAGTAATGTTGCCTTTCAATTTCACTATATAAATTACTGGACTGCACTGTACAAAGGAGGCAAACAAAACACTAGCCTACCAGAGGTTCAAAATCATGAGTTATGAGAATGTTGTTTGGCCTCATGTCACGGTGGATAATACAACCCACTCTGCACTCTTCATGAAGATATCGTAACCCACGAGCAGCACCAACAGCAATTTTTTGCCGTGCAGACCATTCTAATGGATCCCTTTGTCGCCCTGAAATACTTCAAAGTATTAAATCAATTTTCAATCAAGTCACCATATTCATAGCACTGAATGTAACAAGAAAAATATCATAATGTTAACATACTATGCATGAATATGTATAACCATTAATGACAAAATATATTATGATAGTTGACATAAATTTATAAACCAAAAATGATTTTAAAATAATCTAATCCCTTTTTTTCATTGTTAATGATACTTAGAAATTTGATGAATATATTGAATGTCTTAACTAAGTTCAAGCCAATTCAAAAATATGTTTCTATCATGAAATGATTGGGAGCAAAAGAAATTACCATATAAATGTGAATCCAATGATCCATTGCATATGTACTCATAAACTAGTAGCCTTCTCTTATCCTCTATACAGAACCCAATGAGCATAACAACATTTCTGTGCTGAGCACAGCTCAGGACTTCCACCTCTGAGCAAAATTCAAGATCACCTTGAGAACTAGCCAATTTGTGTTGCTTGACAGCAATGACTTGTCCTTCAGGTAGAACCCCTCTGTGAACTGATCCAAATCCTCCTTCTGCCAAGAAGTTGGCTTGTGAAAACCCACCAGTAGCAAGTTCTAACTCCGCATAGCTGAACCACCTAGGAGGTTTTCCAAAAACAGGTGCTTTGTGCTGACATATTGAACACAATGGAGGGGGGCCAGCTGGGGCATTTCCAGATAATGCTATTGCTTCTCTTAAATTTCCACTGAAATCCAAGTCATTTCTATAGGCTGAGATTTCAAATCCAGCTCCTCTATCAAGCCTAGAATACTTTTCCAGGAAAGCTCTTGTTGAAGATGCTTGAGGCATACCATGAGATATCTCTGATCTTTCTTCATTGTGTTGCGATGGCTGTTGATGTAAAAGCAATTCTGTGATCCATGGCTGGTATCTCAAGCTTGCAGATGAGGTGGACAGACTTTCACTTTCAGAGTCAGAACCAAGTTCTTGACTTTCCTTGATAGTTTCCTCTTTCTTGGACTCACCATTCATCTCTAAGATAAAGAATGGTGAGGTTCCTGGATCAGAGCTTGAAACCGATGAAGCGCCAGCTTCAGTTGCAGTGAAGGGTGTCCCTAGCTCAGGGCTGCTTGTTGGAGTTACTGTTGGTCCTTTTATGGAATTTAAAGAATCAATCTTCTTTTTGGTTCGCATATCATCTTGCTCAGAAGGTGATAAACCTGCTTCTTCTACGTCTTTCTTTTGTGGACCAATCAAATTCAAACGAAGCACTTTTGGTTGAGACCGCTTCATAACCACAATGTTACACTGCAGCTCTTCCATGCATCGCTTTTCTTCATGTTTGAGCTGCCTGCAAAGAAGGCAACACCAAACTCAATTATAATCACAGATTAACAACAAAACAATATATCAGTGATGGAGATATCTTTAAGTTTCATGGGAAGATAAGAAAGACTATTACTTGTCCAATACAACCCAATTGGCTTGTGCTTTCTTGGCTTCTGCAGCCACTGCTCCACAAGGTGATCCAGAAACAATTTTAATCCTGACGTTTATCTGTTGGAAAAAGGTTGACATAAGGATACAACCTCAACATTTAATTTGCATGTACTTTTCACACACTAAGGCTACTAACCTTATTTGGATCATAGACATCATGGAGCTGAAGGATCATCTGAGAGCAAGAATCAGTGATATCACTCTTCTGCTCTGAAATTGTTCCTGGAGGGCACTTCTTAATACCACTGGCACAGTCACCAGCAAATCTCGGAAAACCCCATAATCTTCTGCCTGCACATGAGTAGAATAACAGTCAATTACGCATAATAGCATGGTGAAGGTTCAAATCCCCATAAAAAAGAAAAACGAAAACACGAACGAAGTCCATAGTTTTGTTCCCAACACTACATTGAGGCCAAAAAAATGCACTCAGTACTATTTTCTGTCACACTGCCATGACATAATATCAGAATGCAAAACCAAGAAACAATCCCTTTAGGATAAAAGAAGGAATGAAATATCTGCGGAAACCACTGAGGCACTGACCATTTTTCCAACTTTTCAGAAGAAAAAGAGGCATAAAAGTAGATCAAATGCAGAAAAGAGGAATCACCTGAACTTTGTGAAGGCACAACCACTAGCAGTGTAATGCAGTCTCCAGGTTGAACAACATGAGTGAGAGACCAAACAAGAGCAGTCTTTGGAATCTCCTTTGATGCCTTAACGGCAACAATGACCTTCTCAGCACCATCAGAACCTTTCTCTTGCTTCCCCCGCTTCTGTTGCTCTTGACTCATCAGCACCAACAATAATGCCACAAAAACTACCTTGCTCGAAAGACTTAACTATCAGGTCTTAACAACCATCATAAGCATAGAAGTTTTCTAATTCCTATTATAGCAGAAAGTGAAACACAAGAAGTTCAATATCATATCATTAGCCTGCCCCACCAACACAATTATTATTTATCACCAACATACTTGTACGTTCCACCAGGCAACAAAAGAGACAAACTCTTATAACCAAATTCAAACCCCTGTTGTATCAGTTAAATTAAACCTCCACCAACGTTCACAGAATCTTGTTTCTTTTTTATCAGTGATCCTACAAGTACCTTCCCGAAGTAGTATCAAATCTGTGAAGAATCAGATACCCTTTTGTGGATCAGAAAGCAAGACGTTGTTGCAAACACTCCTCAGTTCAAAATGCAAATATTATGCATTTCAAGCTTTCTGAAATTCAACAAGATTCAAAGCAGTGAAAGCACACCACAGTGCCACACGTCTTACTGCTTGATGAGAGATTTAAAAGATAAGACACCCCCCAAAGAGACCCTTCACTCCACTAGCCGTGCTTTTTATGCCTTCAAGTCACGTACCAAGTCAAAATAGTCGAAAAGAAGCTTCAAAAAAGGTAAAGGGAGTGTGTGATTTGGATCCAACTATTTGGCTCTACTATCGAAAACACTTAGAACGAAGCCTCCACCAAAGATTCCTCTACAGAAATAGTATCTTGTCCTTCCTACTTCAACAGCAAAAGAATCCAATCACCCCTGATAGGTACATAAATATGACTTGTTGAAAGTATGGGCCATTTAGCTCCCTGGCTTGTTGAAACTTCACCCTCAATTTTTCACCCTGCATAGTCCCAGATTCAACATAGATCAGAAAAATGAAAACAATAGCAATATTGCAGAGTTAGGTGTATGATAAAGAAATGCACATAATAAATAAATAAATGTACAAACATATATGATTCACTAATCACTTGCAACCGCCATTTTGTTGGTTTACAAGGTCAAAAACATCGTTGGAGACTACAAAACAAAAAAGAAAGGGAAAGGCCAGAATAAGATCCAAAGTTCAAACCTTTCATTTTCTTTATTATATTTATTTATATTATATTCGTCTATCAAGCAATCCCTGTGGACAAATGAACATCCAGCGAAAAAACAAGGAAAAGGAATAATACACTTTTTTTTAAAAAAAATTCTTACAATTATTGTCAAGAGATTCTTAAAATTTGATTTCCAGCGAAAACCCGTCTGAGCCAACTTCAATCAACACCCCCCCTCCCCTCTCTTTCCCATTAAAATATGAAAATAGGGACAAGCTCAGACACACACAAAAAATGAAACAAAGTTAGGTGCTTTAACAAAAGATACGTCAACCCAGAAAGAGAAACCGGCGTTGGTTGATGGAAAATGAGTACTGAGTACAAAATGGTTTCTGGTTAAGAAAAAAGATATCAGCTTTGTTGTTAGTGACCAATGTAGATGGAGACAGAGAAAACAAAAAATAATAATATTAATATAATATTCATTTTCTTTTGTAAGAAAAATATAAATTTTTAGAGCAATGGCAATCCTGTTCCACTTTGGTTTGGTTCTTACATTGTAATGCAGAGACCTAAGTGGCAACTCATGTCTATCAGTTTTGGTTTTTGCAGTAAAATCTGTTTTGGTTTGGACATGGGTATGCCCTTTTTGTTACTCTTAATTTCGGATATGCCCCTCAATTTTGTTTTGTACTAGAAAGTAAAGGTGTTGTTTTAGCTAAGAATTTAAACGTTGTTGCATGGGCGGGATCTTGAAGAAAACGGTATCAAAATCTGTAAGGGGTTGCTTTGCTTTGCTCTGAGGTGCATTGATGTTTTTATGACTTATGTAATTAATAAAGGGACAGTGTCTTGTTATGGCTGTGGTTATTGGTATGACAAACTCACTGACAAATGAAGCAATTTGTTATTTGGAGCAATGGGAAGATAACAGTGTGAGGGAGGGGCCTACATGATCTTGTTCTAGTGTTTGTTTTCTCTTGTCTTAAATTTCAAATTAAAGGGTTTTGTTTTGTGGTGATTCGAATGTTGTTAAAGTTTGCTTGTTCCTAAAGTTGTGTGCCAATTGAGACCAAAAATAGTTGGGAGGGAAATCTAGGTGACATCAACTCATCTTAAGTGGAGTGTTGTGTGTGCTTTTTATGATGGAAATTAAAAGTTAACCTCCATCTAAACACCCAACATTGTTATTGTTCCTTTATTGGATCTTCCCTTCATGATTTAGCTTATGATTGGTTTTGCTGATACATCAATGTTATTAGTGCCATCTAATTGACATTTTATATTTGGCATATGAATGTACTAGTGATTGCAAAAATTAATAACAAGAAACTCTTCCTTTCAAAGGGTGAGATTATTAAAGGAAAATTCTCTCTTTTAATAAATTTCTTTTCATACACACAATTAATAATTAATTTTCTGAATTATATCAGACGTATTAGTCTAAAAAAGTGTAATGCCATAACTTCCAAAAAAATTCACATATTCAAATAAATTAGAAAAATAATTTTATAGTCCTAGTGATTATTGTAGAGATCCTATGCAAACTTTCATTAGAAAAACAAAATATTTATCATCATATTACAATTTTAAAAAAATATAACAAGTATTTTTAATAAAATTTTCCTATTTTTAACTATTTACATTCAATCTTAAAGACATTTTATTTGAATATTTGATCCAAGGCAGAAGCTCAAGTTCAAAAACAGTCAAACAAAGTTCACGCACTTTTATAAGGTGATAATATGTGCATTTAAGTGTAGTGGTATGGTCTGTATGGCAGCACATGTGTGTGAAGGTGAACAGTAATAGACAACAATGCCATGATCGTAAATTGCTCAAAAATGCTGTCCTTTTCTCTGAAGTCTGAACCCATTCAATGTTTTTGGACTTAGCCATAAATGCCAGAGAGGTTAAACTTTTAAAATGCACCGTCACGTCACCGTAACATTCAACGGTTCATCTCTCGCTTCAATGCAAAGCTTCTTCTCATGAATTCAATGTACTCCATTAACTAACATAATGTTCTATTTTAACACAAAACATAACACTGATTAAGAATATAAACTATAAAAAATGTTCAAATGTCTGTTTTTAAATTAGTTAAAATGTTTTACAGAATATGTTAAACACTTTTTTAACTAACATTTTAAGACACTCATTAGTAAAATCCAATAGTGATTTAGAATTTCCAATCTAATAGTCTGACTAAAGAATCGTTGTTTATCTTCTAATATGAAATTAATCTGTTTTATCAAATGAAAATGCAGTCCACTTGGGTGCTGAAATGTGTTATAAAATTGAATTTAATATTGACACAGTATTAATATAAAAAATTACACCATCAATTAATTAAAATATATACAACTCTAATATCTAATATAATTATTACAAAAACAAAAAAAAAATGTTTCTATAATAATATATAATTAAATGTTATCTTTTATTACTCGACGACGTCGTTTAGTCTACTCGAGTTTGATGCCACGTATCCCGGATCGTGTCCCGTGGCTTTGGAACCTACGAAACGTTTTTTATTCTTCGCTATTTTTTTAGAAGGAATAAACAATATGTGGTAATGCATGGCTATTATTTAATAGAAAGTTGCTGACAAAACGTGTTACAGGCTCAATGCCAACAACAAATGATAAAAATTATAATCAGAAAAGTTAAATCCATTGCATTAGGGTATCTGCTATGCTCTGCACGCCCAAGTTGTCTGCTATTCTTTATTCAAATTCGTAAGCAAACATAAACAAAATGATATCAATTTCATGAATGACATTTTTAAATTAAGTGCTGATTATTAATGACTTGTATAATTAGAATCTTGCTTGTAATCCGTAATGAGTTGAATCAAAAGACCACTAATTAACCTTCTTAATATTCTCCTCTTTAAAAAGAAAGAGCCATGTGAAAGGAAATAACAGGGAGCAGTATAGTCAATCTGTTAACCTTGTTTCACTTTTATTGGTATTATTGGGGTACAAGAAGATAAAATTACAACATATTTAATTTTTAGCAGAAAAAATACTAGCAATATAATTTTTATTATTAATTAAAATATATTATAAATTAAAAAATATTAATTTAAAAGTGAAAAAAATATCACTTACAATTTGTGTAATTTTTAATAAATTTCAACTAATAATAGAAAGTGTGTTGCTAATGTTATTCAAGAGAAAATATCTTACGACGTTAGTAAATATTAGCAAGAATTTAGCATAATGCATCAGCATTTTAAATTTAAGTAAACTTCAAAAACATAAATTAAAAATTAAAATTAAGCAGAAATTTTGAAAACTTTAAAAAAATTAAAATTAAGATTTAAGGGTGAAACAAAAGGAAATTTTAAAAAAAAAAATTTGTTTTTCTAATTATAAAAAATAAAAAAATTAATATTTAATAATTTTAAAGAAATTTGTATGATTCAAGACACCACTACATTAATGTATATAGTTGAGCCTAACAACCAAAGTTTTCTTATAGTAAAAGATATTTTTAGTATGGTGAAGTTAACTTCTTGTAATTGGTTGAAAGCATGTATAGTATTTACTCTTTGTATTCATTTTATACTTTATTCTATTTTAAAAGGTTGATAGTTTACACTTGGAAGATCACTTATTTATCTTTTTCTCAGTGTGCATGCGTGGGTCCTAATTCTTGAGTTTGAGTGGTTAAGTGAAAAATGGGTCTTAATCACAAAATTTCATTGTATAAACTTCTTTTCATGGAGGCACTGATTGAACAATTATTTGAACTTGTTGGATATGTTTTCATATCGATTTTCGTACACCCATGACAAAAGGGTTTTGATGTGAAACTTGGACCTGTTTCAGGGAACATGTTGGTAGGGTGCAAAGTGCTATAGTTATGCTAATACTCACTGATTAAGGTTATCTTAGTTAGCTTAATTACGCTATTTGTACTACATTTCTTGTTTTATTTCCTTTTTTGATGCGATAGATAATGCCCATCTCATCTGAGTGTTTGACTCCAAATTGTGTAAACTTCTTTTGATAGAAACCTCATTTGCAATTTATATTCATCGCGTGATTAAAGTGAAAAATTATGTTGTATCATACCAGAAAAGAAGAGCTTAATCATTAATTAGCTACCAATTTGTCTCATAATAAAGGGTATGACTATCCTCATCCAGAACATAAACAGTTAGTGTTGATCATGATGCAATTGTTTTTGTTTTTATTTATATGTTCAATGAAAAAATATTTGAATTTGATGCATGCTTAGTATTTTAAAATAAAAAAGTAGATTAACAATAAATTAAAGAGTATATGAGTAAGAGTTATAAATTGTTTTTATTTTATTTTAATAAATTTTTTAAGTATACCTCATAAAATAAATTATTTTACTACATTCAAAATTTTAATATAGTATTAGAACACAAATTTAAGAAAAATTAAAAAAATTAAAGATGAAGCAAAAATAAATTAGACCTGCGACATTAAAAAGAAGAGGAATTACAAGTCCAAAAAATAACCATTCGCAAACCCTAAACCCTTCTTGTGTTGGAAACAATATACACTCTCAATTGCAATGACCCTACAACTGCATTAGACCAAACAGCTTAAGAATTTGCTAACCCTTCAATCACAAACCTACCTCTTCCACAAAAAATGAAAGACACATGCTAAATAATGTTTTAAGAACATAAAAAAAGTATACAATAATGCACTCTTCTATAGTTTTTAATATATTTTCAAGATGTTTTTTATTGTAGCTGTAAAATGCCCAAATTAAAATATTAAAAAAAGTCCCCACCAAGATTATAAGGGTTTGTGTTAAGTGTACCATACACTCAATAATGCAAGTCCTCATGGGTGGGGCACTTATGGCACATAAAATTTCTCCCAGGTAGGGTGGACATGTTACATCCCCATATGTTTCACCTTGTTCTATGAAATGAAGTTAGGGTTCTTGGGTCACTCACAAGGCCCCAACCCTTTATTGCTACTGCAGGTAATTGCTTTATGTCTGTCTCAATTCTTAGCTTAATGATTCCATGGAAATTCCAGAGTCAGAAGAAACATGCAATTATTATTTGTGGCCATCCATGATTTTGCCCAACCCAATACCACATCCAAGTATCAAATCTTGTCTGCTTAGTATATTATATGATTGTAAAATGTTCTGATTCCAACCTTTGCCACTTTTCTTTAATCTTTTTTTGTTTAATTTGTTTTCCCTTTTCTTCTTTTGTTTTTATCTGATCAATTTAATATTTCGGCCATCATTTCACTATTATATACTGTGTGAATTGGCTGCTGATTCTGCTAGTAAGACAAATTCAGCTCTGCAAAGTGACAAAAACATTAAATATGTTACCAATGACCATTGTTCCAAATTCAAATTATTGTAGGAAAATGTTAACCAAGTATGAATAAATAA